CACATATGGAACTCAAATTACAACTGCCTTCCAGAAAGCAGCCACCTCTACACAACATCATTTGATAAGTCAAATGATCATCTGGAATGCTTTCCAGAGAGTTGAGCTACGCGCTGAACACTGAAATACCCCTCTGAGAAGGTGGAGGAAAGGAAGTATGATTCACGTCATTATTATTTATTGGCAGATAATTCACAGTCCTGGGCACTGTGGTACAGACAGAAGAATTTGGAAGGCTTTTTAGAAAGAGCCCCTTCTGCCAAGTTCAGGCGTTTTCAAGGAGGTTCTGCACAACTTCCCCACTATTAATTTCTGCCGAGGCACTAGACAGCGTATGAAGATATTTGTACAACAGACTGAACAAGATTTTGGCTGAACTCAAACTATGTGATATGAACAGAAAAGTAACTATGTAAAAATAAGTAATGGGAAGCTGTTTCTTAAGGTAACAGGTCATTTATAGAAGACTGTTGAGAAGATGCTTTTGTGCTGCTGACAATGCCCGAATGAAATCAGAGACTCTTCAGTGACTTTACAGAAACTGCAGATAGAGCCTGCTTTGCTGAAGCATTTATTAAGGTGTAAAACTCATTACTAGCAAAGGGCTAAAAGCTGTAAAACTTTGGTCTTGAAAGTTCTAGTGTTCAGATGATGAAAGACCTTGAAGAACTGCATTTTGAAAGAGCTGTCCGGTTCACAGTTAGAACGGAGCTTTCATTAGAAACACAGAAATCCAGGATAAGGTACTACTTTAAATCCTTAGGATTATTTTACAGGGAACAGGAAAAGAAAACTCTGAGATCCACAGAAATGCCAGTTTCCCTGCAGTGAGGCGTCATATCTGCCACTCTGTGCTGTCTGGGGAGATCAGCACCTGCCCTCCTCGGGTCTTGCATACTGGGATTGCTTTTACCCAAGCAGGCAGCTCTATCTGTAACACTGTCAAGTATCAACAAGAACTCATCTTACTTCCTATGCAGAGATCATCATTTTAACACTCAGTGTAAAGAGAAAAATGAGTTTGCCAGCAGGCAACCATTGCACGTGAAGCCATTTTTTCCTTATCAGAGAAAACTCCTACCACATCTTCTGAGGAAAGTGTGGCAGCAAGCCAGAGACAGCAGATTATCACCATCACTTTTAAAACAGTCTAGCAGAGCTTTATATAATGTTTGTCATGCTATGTGTTCAGGATTAATTGTTGCCAAGAGATTATCATCTTCATCCAAATTAAAGATATTAAGTTAATACCAGGGAAGCTTCAAGTACCCTGAAAGTAAAAATGGATTTTTTATAAATGCTCACAACTTACTTTAAGATTTCAGAAAATGCAGTAGGGTGAATATACCTCCTCTGTAATCCAGAGCAGGGAAAATTAAGGCAAAAAGCAAAGACATGTTTTGCATCTAGATTTATCAGGAATCCTTCGATGGTTCAAACCGAGTAACAACAGCAATACCACTGCAGCTGCTACCAGAAAGACCAAAAGCTCATCAGCATGCAGGCAGATTTTAGTTTCCAACCAAATGCTCCAATAAAGCCTTTCCTTTTACATGTAATATTTCACTGAACTACACTTCTGTGCTGAAAGGATCTGTCTAAAAGCAAAACAAGATATTCAGATCGTATTTGCATTTAAATCACAAATGGAAAAATAAACACTAAACTTTTAAGATCTGCATTTATAGAATTTCAAACAAATTTTCATGATATAGCCAAGTTATTTTCATCTTATAAATTAATAATCTTGAATTAGTGCAATGATGTATTTTATGCTTTCAGATCATAATGGCAAACGGAAAACTAGCAAAGAAGATGCCATAGCAGTTTACTAACCTCTATCTACAAGTCTTTTATTTCTTTGCTTAATATAATTAGTTGTTGGCTAGGGGTGGAAGAAGAATAGGTAATAAATGCAATTTATTAAGTAGGAATTTAATTAAATGGGATTTCCTAATAAAACATCTTCCCAAAATATAACAGTCATTGCCTTAAATCCAAAAAAGCATTTATTCTAAATGCCATCATTTGTTGCCCCACTGAAAAATGAAGAATATAATTTTGATGTTTCTAATGCATGAAGTTTACAAGTGAGAACATGTATGTTCCTTCTAAGAGAAAGAGAAAAGATAGGCTATTACAGACAAAAAAGCCCTTCCAAAGTTGTTTGGAAATCCAATATTAACATTCCAAGTTCTAGTTCGTTATACTTATGCAGAGGATATTAATAACTCAAAGTACTTACAGCTCAAGAGCTGCTTAATTACTGTATTTCACTGAATTTAAAGCAAAGCAATCTCACGATATGTAGTTTTCAGACAACTGAGAAACTTGGAAAACCAAAACTAGTTACTGACAATTCAAGAGCTGCCACAGTGCTTTCCTCATGGCTACTCAGAGCCTGCTTTTCTCCAACCAAAGTGCTTCTGATTTTTTAACTCCCTGTTACAGCAATCTTGTGTATTTCCCACCAGAAAAAAAGATTCTGGCAATAGAGCCAGGTGATCCAGGACCTTTTTAGGCCTGTTGGTGCGTGGAAACGTGGCAAGGAATTAAGTATATACAGTTTTGTGGATGGGAGGTGGGCTGCGAGGTGCCATGTGATCCAGAACCGGACCCGTGGTCCCAGACGCTTAGGGATCATGCTGCAAATTCATACCTGGAAAACAGACATGTGAAAATTTCCCAGCTGGAAGTTTTTAAGACACTTTCCTGATACTGGTCACATGTTCTCCTGATATACCAGGCACCTGAAACCGTACTCACTGTATCACAAGCTCTGTGCTGTATTTGCAAGTAGCTACAATACAGCCAGTGCCTGTGGTGACACCAAAAAGCCCCATTGCTTTCCAAATGTGAAATTATTCTGGTAAAGCAGTTCAAACCCTTTTAAAGCCCCTTATTTTTTAGAAAAAAATAGCATCATGAAAACACTACTACTTTTTAGAGCATACAGCTCCCCATGAGACTGCTAGATGCAAACAAACCTCAGTAAAAAAATAATGACTGTATAAAAGTGCAGTTTAATCTAAATTTTTCTGGAGCTAAACACTCCATCTCCTGACATATCACAAAAGGGATTAAGGAAAAGAAAAAAGAGAAGACTAGAAGACTTGCTCATAGAAAGAGAAAATATTCTGAGAAGTCATAAAAGCAACAACCTTCCCAAAGAGAATGAATCTGCAAAGCAGCAGCCAAACAAGCTGCCCAGTCTATTTAATCAAAGATCTGGGATGTTTTCCTATTACTTGGCAAACAACTTGCATCCAAGCTGCCAATTATTTAACCATGGTGGGACTTTTAACTCCATTTAGGGGAGAAAAATACAGCTGCTGTAAATTTCAACACTGCACAACAACCCACAATAGCTGTCTTGAAATCTACTTTATGTCCTTTTTTATCTCTGCTAGTACTGTTTCATCAACTGGTGCAGATGAAATGGTGCCTCTCTGGTACTGGTTGAAAGTTATTTTCATCCTAGTCAAAACACTGCAAATAATTTTGAAATAATTAGGTAAGTGGTGGATAACATCATTCTACATGATGATTTAGATGGCTATGTTTCATCACAGGTTATGAGCACAGTATTTCTTTGCATCAGACCCAGCATTTTGTGTTGTTTGTATGAGTATGAATTCTACTAATTATTAACCAAAAATTGAAAAGAAACCTGATCTATTACGATTCCCAATGGCTTAAATACTGTGCCTGCATTTCAAGAGAGCAAGTGGCATGCCAGAGACCATTTAGACCATCATGTTACTGAAAATTCAAATTATATCAACACTGCTTCTCCTCCCCCTGCTTTGAACAACAAGATTTTTGCATTAAGGTTGTTTATTTGTGTCATTCTATTGAAATCATTTACCAACTGGTCTACGAGGAAGTGTGAACTTTAATTTTTATAATTTGTTTCCAACCTCCACCTACTAAAATAAAATCTGAGAAAATCAGGACAGTGAGTCACTAAACCCAGAATCTTTCTGACTATAGATCACAGACTTTTTCAGGGATCAGTAAAAGCCACAATTCCATTCTCTATGGAATTAGACAATTGCTAATAATGGCGCGCCTTTTGAATATAACCAACCATTACAAAGCAGGCTTTGGTAAAAATCCACTCATTTTTTGGTACTAATTTTAAGAGCATTTAAATTAAAATATTAAAAGAGTCTCAGTGTGCAAAAAAGAATGCATAATAAACAAATGTGCAATTTTACTGAAGACACAAACTTCCTGAAAAAAGTTAGTAAGTCTATGTCAATGAAATACAAGTTAGTAAATATCTTTTTCAACAGTATGTTAAATCAGAAAAATGCTGGATTTCTATGCAGGATGCCTGATGAATATCCAAAAATATCCTCTTTTCTGTACCTAAGTAGAGAGAACAAGGTACACTAAGACAATGCAGCTACTGACTGTTGCCATCTTATTGTAAATCTCCCATACCTTCTCATTGATTTCTCATCTGGAGCACCTCACAGCACAGCCAACAAACGCCAACTCTCTCCTCACCCAGCCAACCCACTCTTTTATAGCACTCGTCTTCTTACTGGACACACCTGTGGCCTATTAAGAGCAGGCCTGTTCCTAATCTTTGGTGATTAGTACAGCTGCAACTCCTCAGGTGTGAGACTATCTTCTGCACTATATTTTCTTACATTCTATCCCTCCACAACTGACCATTACTTACTGACTTTAAAGGGCCAACCCCTCATATGGAGGCTCAAAGATCTTTCTAACTCATGGACAGAAAATCATGAATTTTGCCTCAATTCAAAATCATGAATTTTGCCTTGTTCAAAAACTGTCTGCTACTGACATCCAAGTATACAAGCATTTTTCTGAGATATCCTGTGCATGAAGAAAGATAAACAGAATTTCTCAGCTTAAGGTGGTCAGCAGGAAAGACAGCTGTCAAATTAAAAAGCAGAAAATAATAAAAAACCAATTAATTTGTAACAAAATTAACTGCAAACAATTAAGGACTCCACAAAAACTCTAGCTAATGAAAGATGTTTCCTTCTTTATTATTGTGTAATACTTTTCACAGAAACATAGTATTTACAAATATACACATACAGACTGCTGATCATAAAATGTTATCGAAGAATTAGTCAAAAAAATCAATTTACAAAACCCAAAAACTTTTCAAAGATATTCTGGCTGAAAAATTTAATGAAATCTCAAGGAGATGCTTCTGTACAGAAAGACAGGTTTTAGCTTCTTGAGTTCTGGTAAATTATGCGAGTTGTGAACCAAGTGAGCCAAACTCAGCTGTACATTTGAGATGAGGCAGTTCTTTTCCAATTGTTCTTTTCATACAATTTACTGATGGTCAGCTCCAAGAGGTCTCAGGAGGCACTGGTCTGGATGTTTTTGGAAGCTGCAAGCATTGCTCTCACTTTGGCCATAAGATCCTGTAGACAATAAAAGGAAAATGATCAAACATGTCTGATGTTTGAACAGAGCTAAAACACATGACTGAAAAACTCCACCTGAAAGGGTTAGTGCGCATTCCAGTCATGTGGGATACTTGGACTCATGACTATCAAATGTTTAGCTCCTAGGCTAAATGAGTCAAATAATTTGGAGAAAGTTCCTATGACAGCAACTGAATTCTGGTTTTACCAGAATGCAACAGTGCTCTGCATAAATATATCAAGCAGTTTCTACACAACAAAGCACAGAAATCATATCAATTGGAATAGAAAAACTATGACCACATCTTCAAAGAAATCCTGTAATGAACACACAATTACTAACCACTGGAGGTTTAAAATGGGAAAAAAGAAAAGAGAAAAAGAGAGAGAGCTGGTAAGAAAAGAATGTAACAATTACTCTAAAACAAATTTTTTTCCTTGGTTTGTAAATCTGAACCAAAAATTTACACAGCAGAGGCATTTTCTCATATGACAGTGACTGTAAAAGCAAACAGACTCTCAGTCTTGTCTGAGCAGCCAGTTGGAACAGCATTACAAAAAGAAATGAAATTTCATGTAAACGGCATTGAATAACTGGGTTGCAAAAAATGATGACAAAATAAAAAGTGTGTATATCAGTAACAAATCTGAGTTACTTAAACATTTGTTCACAAAGGCAACATAAATTAACTCCTTAGTGCTTTTAAAGTGTTTTGCATCTGAAGTTCTCAACACCAGAGGGGAATTTAGCATCATTATTCCTTCTGCTTTACAGATGGAAGGATCTGAATGAGAAAAAATACTGACTTGGTTAGGGTCAGGCAGGACAATGGCAGCACAACAATTTAATAATTAGTTAAATTCCATTTTTGGAGCCCTTAATGATAAAGAGATGCTTAACTCATCTCTATTGGGAAATATCTTACAAAATTCATCTAAGTTTCATTCCTATTTTTTACTTTTTGCAAATAGCAACCAAGAGCTGTATTTTGCTTCAGTAACCATTCCTTCTCTTACAGCTGTACTTTAAACAAGCAGTCTAATACTAAAATAGGAAATGCTATGCCATAAGCAACATTTAACCCAAAAATGCATAAAGCAATGATCTTTGAAGGGTATATGTGTTTGAAGGGTGGGATGTTAACTCTCCTTTGAAGACCGTGCTGTAGTTTGTATCTCATTTCTCATACTATGACTTCCCATGCATTTGTTTGGTAGCATAAGAAATGCTGTGATTTTAACACTCCTTTTTCTTCCTCTGCTGCCTATAGTTGTTATTTTTCCTGAATAATCTTGTTTAGGGTTTGTCATAAGAAATGGATCAAATTTTGTATGTAAGGTACTAGACCGAAAGTATCAATTTCCAACTACCACTATTTCCATAGCAGAACTATATTTTTGAACAGTATCTATTTATTGAAAGAATAACTTATCCACTGAAAAAACATCAGACTATAAAAAGCAGCTCTGATTTTCTACTGTGAATTTTTCAAAGCATAATTAAGACAACTTTCCCTTTAAAGCTGGCTTATCCAATTGAAAAAAGTTAAATATTTCCTTCTTCCATGAAACTTGTGAAGAGCTCTACATGGTAAGATGGGCTGTTGATAAAGGGAGTATTGCAGCATAACATGGACTTTAGCATCTTTACAGTGGATACAACTGCAGCCTAATGAATTTAGCTTGGTCTTTAGAGGCTTGATGAAAACTGAAAGGACAGCACCTAGGGAAGTAACAACACCGTTGCTCCCATAAGCAAACAGATTAAAAAAGACAGTGAACATGTCTCTACATCATACGCGAAGTTCACAATTGCCCAATGTGGTAAGAGAAAAAAGCAATATGTTGGACATACTTAATTACTCTGAATTTGCCCATTTGTACCTGAGTGATTTTACTCTGCACTGATGACACAATTGCTGAAGAGATTTGGCCATCTTTTTCCTGAGAAACTCCCCTAAAAAATAAAATCAGCAATTTATAGTAAAAGTTTTGAAAATGCATTTCACTCCCCATCTTGATTTGGGTTTTATTGTACATGTTTCTCCTATGTTAGTCAACAGCTCTCTCAGTCAACCAGAGAATGTAAGTCAGGGTCAGAAAAATCACTTGTACAACTGCTCCGACAAATCTGAATAGCAGCTTGAGAATTTTTAACAAGGATGTTCTATATTCTAGAAATAATTTCATCATGAATCTTGACACATGTTATAATTCAAACCACTCTATTAAAGTTCTACTTCAAAGAGTTATCCCATTTCATGAAAGCTTCCAATTTCCAACTTAGAAATAGGTTGCAGAATTTTCTGCACCAGTTTTCCTGTAAGGTTGAGAAATTTACTCCAGAAAGCAAAAGAGACCCAATATGTTTATCAGACTGATTCAGATAGTGCTGTGCTCCCAGTGACTTTTACTTTTGATAAGCACACATTGCACACACACAGAGCTCCTCCCCCCACGACTCTGGTCACAGACACCCTGACAGTCAAGAGGCAGCAGCACTGCAGTAGGACACTAAGAGAGTACGGTACCTGGAGCGTTCCTGGCTGGATTCCCTGCTCTCCACAGGAGAGACACTAGTTGAATGTACAGAATTTTTGTGTGTAGATGGTTTGCCTGGTGACATGGATGGTGAGGGAGACCTTGCTCTGGATTTAGTACGTGATCTAGACCGCCTTTTCTTCTTCTTTTCATGGGGACTTCTGTGAGAAGAAAATATTTTAGTGAAGAATATTTAAAGCAATATTACACTAGCTACACTGAAGTTACTTGGCCCACTTCTGTTTCTCTTGCACTCAGCAAGCATTAGTCTTACCCAATACCGCACATTTATGGCTGAACAAAATACTTTATCAGAAGCTCTTTTTAATATACTACATTAGGAAACTTCTGGTTCCTGAGGTTCTCAGTTGGAATGCAGGACAACAACAAAAAGCCTTTCACTGGAGATTTGCAGAATAATTTTGCTAGAGGGAAGTTCCTTCCCAAACAACAACAGACACTAAGGATGCAACAAGAAAAGTGAGAGTTTATATCCCTTACAATTTTCCTAGCTCATAAAATAAACAAAACATGGAATCATGGCTATGTGAAATATCTATAAGGCAAATCCAGTTTGTTTGGTTTTTAAAACAAAAAAAAAAAAACCTCCCCTTTCTTTGTGATCCAACCTGCAATGCAACAAACCACAGGATCAAAATTTTAAATGAGATGGTGTACTGCACTCAGACTAATCTGGACCTAACAGTGTGCCTAAGTGAGAATTTCCATGTTTCAGACCTGGAAATTAGATCCACAAATGTTTGTCAATATGGAAGCTGAAACAAAGGACTTATGAGTACCTGGTGTGTTCATTACTGACAGAAGGGAACAGAGATAGTCACCACGTAAACCAATATTAAGTTCAAAGATAATTCAATTAGTAATGTATTAAAGATGAAACTACTGAATCTTTTCACCTGGCTATGAACTTATGTCTGTATGATTTATGCACTACTATTGATATTACTATAATTAGAATAACTAGAGTGATGCCTTAATTAGAGGTAGGCAATATCTCACTATAAGCATCCCTCTCTAGTATGCACTCCTAGAAGTCTATTCAGAGCAATGTTCTTGAAGCTTCTAGAACATCTTAGAACACTAAAACTTTTAGCCACCTTTTAAATATCATATTATTCATTCCTTTACTTTGAATTTTTGTCGGAATTTTCTACTTTAAAAGGTGCTATACTGTAACGCATTGAATTTCCATATAAACAGCGTACAACTCTGAACCTTAGAATTTACCCCACCATTTTTTATACAGAGATCTATTATATTTTATATAGAGACATAATACATATATTTTTATATAGAGAAAACACTCAAGATTTAAAATTGCAAAACCTCCTTACACTTTTCTTGAATAAAAAATTATTAAGTGGCAGACAAAAAACCCCACAGCCTCTAACATTTTCATGACTACACAAAATCATCAACTACAAAGTCAGTTATTCCTTGACTAGCTATGTACTTTATTCGCTTTGTTTCTTTAAACATCCTCACATAACCAAGCTGTGAACAGATCTCATATTTGACTCTTGAAAATCTTGGCAAATATTTGTCATGCAAGAAAAGTATTTTACTGTAAGCTTTTTCAGTGTTTTTCATCTCAGACTACAACGAACAAATAGAACAGCTGAATGATGAAGAAATCTGTTCCATAATTCAACACGGAAACTGGTCCATCACATTTTTACTTGAAAATTTAACATGTCAGGGCTGAAAGAGTTTCTGATTTAATTTCTGCAATCAGAGCTGCAAAATATCCTTATCTATGTTTAACTACATTTTACTCCTTCTTCAGTCTACATCTTCTGTACTTACTGCCATATTTTATTGTGCCACTTCCTGGTTTCCTGTTTGACGCCTAACAGAAGTTTAAAATTTTGACCTATATAGCAATATTATTACCAATTACCAACTTATAATTTACAACTTGGAGTAGCAAAATTCTAATTCAGCATTTATAGTTTTAAATGCTGAATGCATTTAAAGCAGCAGACACACCAACACAGCATTAAGAACAGCATGGAGATGTGAAAAAAGCGTATTTTGTGCATTTATAGGAAAACAAATATTTTAAGCTTCCATATTTTCCGCTTAACCCAATTTGCATTAATTCCACAGGAGCCTCTATTACCTTCATTTGATGAATGTAAAAACTAAATCATTTGAAGTATACTTAGGAAGTTCTCAATTATACCTACCACACATCAATTAATTACAGGCTATCAAGAGATGTTGTCACAAGAAACAAAAGAATTTTTTAAATGAAGCTGAAAGTGATCTCTTTCTTTCTTATTCCACAAGAAATATGGAGAAAGAAGTTGAAGAATAAATGCCATTTTGATTATAATAGTTTAAGAGTGACTGTATGCAGGATGCTCTCAAAATGACACCATGATTCATACTTCACATTCCAGTCTGCCAGTAAAACAACTGTTAAATAACTGTTTGCTAAATCAGTTGCCCTTATGCAGATATGATGTGATGTCAAGAAAGCTGACATCATAGTTATGCTATGACTTGTACAGAGGTCATACACCTTGCACAATCACAGCATGAGAAAATGACCCAAAAAGAGGGAAATATGAAACTCCCAGTGAAATCTGAACTCTCATGGCCAGCAAACAGCAATGTATTAACATCCACCAATTTGATTGTACAGCTGCTGTTCAAACATATGCAAGAACAGGGAAGAACAACAAGTGCGTCCATATTTTTTTTTCTCCCGAAAAAGTGTTTTTCTATCAAAATAAATCTCCAGAACATACAAAGGACACAATGGTTAAGTTCTAGCTAAGGAGTCTACAATCCATCAGGCTGTTAGGATGCCAAGACCCCACTGTCCAGGACCAGGAGCCCTTACTTGGAGCGGGGCCGTTTCCTGCTGTTCCCAGGACTATTGCTGATGCGATATGCTGTGGGAACGCTTCTCTCATCTCTCCGCCGTTCTGGTGTGTGAGCCCTTCTCCGGGGTGACCTTGATCGTGACCTGAGGAGAGAAAAAACATTCAAAAGTTTGCTTTTTGTTATTTATTTCAAAACTTTTACTTCAGTGGAATTGTGCTTCACCAAATGCAAATAGCTATTTTATACCAACATGGTGCATTTAGTCTCCAAGACTTGTCAGCTACATAAAAATTTCTTGCCTATCCAAGACATTTGAGATGAATTTTCATTGCTCTTCATGCCCAATAGGGGGCTAAAAAAAGGAATTATTTTTTGGTCTTGTCTGCTATGACAACTTCTGTATTATTTGATGGAAAAACTTGTTTTTAGTCTAGCCACCTTTTGTGGCAACACATGTTGCTAAAATTGGTATGCAGAAATCAAATTTGCACAAAGCCTGGGATTGGCAGACCTGACCTTGTCTTCTTAAATTAGTGGTGTGCTTCTAGAACTGATGTCTCACAGAGATAAATGCACATTCTTGATGCAGTGGCTGTCGAACACTGACAAGTCCAGGAAATGTCCTGGATGCTGCAGAACAATCCTAGCACACCCAATATTTTCACCAGTGCAAGTGACCAACAACCCATTATCAGTGTTGTTTGGCACTAGCACTTTGACTTGAAATATTTTTCCTAGAAAAGTGAGGAGAACAAGAAGGGAAAATAGAAAGCATGCCCAGTTAAGATCAGAGAGCTTCAGGTTCACATAATATAGATAATATATATACACACCTACAAGGTCCTGAGCCATTTCTGTTACACCTACAACAAAAAAGCCCAACTGAAAAGAAATAATCTCAATGGCAGATAACTGTTGCAAATTAACTGCTTTGACACTTATAAAATCTGATCTTTACCAAGCCATTCAGAAGGATTAAAAAAAAGGAAAAAACCAACAGATTATAAAACTTGGGTTCAGTCAGACACCTTGACATTTTACCAGGATCTCCCTCAAAAGAGCTCCAGCAGTCAAATCTTTTCATTGCCCAAGTTGCCTGATAATTTTTCCACTCTGCTGCTGCTGCCACTGATGAGCTGCTCAGACTCGGCTCCATGCTCAGTGTCGCTGTGGATGCTGTGAGTCTGTGATATGGAGGCACACACTTCACATCCAGACTAAAATGTCCTAGTTTTGGTATTAACTAGAATCCTGAAAAGGCTTAGTCCCTTAACCAAAAGCTGAACTTTAGTGAAACACGCCTGTATGGACCAGCCTAAAAAAGTCCAAACAATCAGAAAGAAAAAGACATTAGCTTTATTTTTATGAACTGACATTTGTGGTTCTACAGCATTCTTCCAATCACCAAATATTAAGAACTTTGGCCATTTGCTCCAAACAATTAGAAGACAGCTAATCAGTTTTACTGCAATATGTAAATTGTAACTTTCGTTAGACTGTAATTCCAGAAGGCACTTTGTTCCTTTATGACTTATGCTTAGAAGGGTCCCAAAAGTTCAAAGGGTTATGAAGCTTGGCATGTCTCATTACAAAACTGGAATTAAAATTATGTGACTAGACACTGCCTCAGCAATAAGAAAATCACTTTTGTAGGAGAAAAAAACCCCAACACCAAACAATCTTTTTTAACAAAGAACAGCTACTTCCAAGTCTACTGATATACTGAGGCAAAAAGGCTCACAGAAACTCCCACACAGGTGCACCCTATCCAAACTTACCGCAAAGTATCCTGTTAACAAAATATACAACCAATTACTGCAAATATTCATTAACTGGATATATTATGTGCTTTAGTACTACTCCATTACTAAACAGTATAAAGTAAAGCAGCAATACTGAAAAGAAGTTTAGACTTTCCATCTCTAGTTCAAAATGAACATCCAAATTTCACCAAATCAAATCACTTCCCTTCATCTCCTCTGACACCCAGCATCACCGCCAGAAACAGCTCAGACCCAATTCTTTAACGGTGCTTTGAAGCCCATGAGAAATAAAAACAGTGATTTAGTATTTACTACACTTAATACTAAGATACCAAAACCTTTGTTTTCCAAGACAGATTTAATAAATATGCCCATCTTTGATATCAAGTACTTACTTGTAATAACTAATTACCTCTCTGGGAATGACAGGTCTGTTCTGCAGTACCTTAGAGAACTCTGGGACACTGTTTACTGTGTACTTGGCTTGCTTAATCTGTCATGTAGGTCTAGAATTAAAATTGCATGACACCAAGCTTTATAGGACTAATTTTGTTCCAGAAAATAACAAGCATTTATACAGAGAATTGCCGTTAGCACACCACATGCTACAATTAAGCTAGTATTATCTGGGTTCTCTATATAGCTATGATTTTTTTAAACTTGTTTCTGTAAAATAGGTTTGGCTGTTAACCTGAGAAATGAATATGCAAAACATGCTCTGAATCAACTTCATGTTATTGGAACAGAATTTTTCAACTTTATTACAGCTGAAGATGCATAATATAAGAAATGCAACAGTTTCAAAATTGTATCTTATGACCAAAGACTACTCTTAAATGCAGCAGAGCCTCTAAGCCTCTAACAATGCAAAAATAAATGATAAGCAAGTGATGTAAAATGCTATACAAAGAAGTATACTGCAAAGTTCATTTGTGGGATTCCTAAGCACAATATGCATTTTGGAAAAAAAGAATAAGATGATAAACCAAAAAGGAAGAGCTTACAAAGTATCCTGAACATTCCTTGAATAAAAAGCAAAGAATGTTATTGCAAATTTTGATGTTTATCTACACTTCCCACATTTTATTCCCCAGTAACTTATCACAATAAGTTATATGGCAAAGATAATTTTTAATCTGTATTTTGAACAGATTAAAATAAGGCAACATCATTAGACTGGGGCATTCAAATACTGCACAGATACTCAAAATAGGGCTGTTTCAAAGTAATTTAGCATCACTGTCCACACAGTAATGACTGTCTCCAAGCGCCATCCACTTAATACACAATGAACATATCAACATCGAGAAACAGTTTACACTTTATTCCAGGAGAGGATGGCTCTTTACGAAACTATTCATTCAGCTGAAAGCTGTAATATCCAGTGCTTTGGGAAGCTAGGGAAGAAAACTGTTCTAGGTGAAGCTGAAGAATAGCGTTCTAAGGAAAACTGATTAGCAAAGATATGTGAAACATGCCAAGCTTTGAATGAAGCAACACAATGCACTGAAATTATTTTATCTGAAACAACAGTAAAATAAGAACAAATAATAATAATGATAAAAAAGACCAGTAATATCTTCTATCTAGGCAATAACATGAGCCTTTTTGTGGCAATTATTAAGATAAGGTACTATTTTTGCCTAAACATTTGAGAATCAAAATACATCAGTATCTAAAAGGGTTATGAATCAGCCTCTTGCTCTTGATTATTCAACAATTTTTCTGTTTCAGGAGCAAGAGCTCTAACTTTGGAAATACAGTATGTTAAGGCATAGCAAACACCTCCAATAAAGCACACCTTCAATCATCACCATTTCTTCTTCAAGGCCTTTCCTGTTCAGCTCTAACTTCTATGAAGTTAAAATATGCAAAATGTTTTCAGTGCAAAATCTGGTGCTGTTTTTCTAAATAATTTAAAAATTCAGCCAGCCAGCATCAAGTTTATTAGACTTCTGAGATTTCAGAATTCAACAGCTCCTCAAGGAAATATCTAACCAAATTTAATCAGGTGTTGTGGTGATTCATGATTTTCATGCTGTTGTGAACTTGTCATTTGATTTGTCCCAGGAGGCAAACACGAGATTAACTCCTACAGATTACCTATTCTTGATGACTTTTGGTTAAGACACAGCATGTCACGACAACTTACTGTCAAAGGTAGTCAAATGAGCAGCATGTCGGACTGATCGTTTCAATCCAAGTTGCGCTTATTTAATTCCTGGCATCTCTGAATAGCAGAGATTTCTGCAGAAAAGTATTGCTCTTAAACTCAAAAATCACGTATAAACCAGTAAGTTGTAACATGTTAACACTCCTGCTAGTGTAGTTAAGACACTTCATTAAACAAAAAAGCACAAGAAAACTAAGAAGTTTTGGCACACTGTCATCAGAGGCCAGCAGCTTTTTTCAGGCATGAGTCATAGATAGATACAAAAAGAGGAAGTACTGCAGGGTTTCATATGCATCACATACTTATACAGCTGTGGCAGTATTTATATGCAATTTGCTTAAACTACAAGCTACATAAGTAGTTACATTGTTCTGTACACTGATCCACAGAATGTACTCTCAAAGCCCCTCCTACTGACCATAGTAACTTCACTGCAGAAAAGCATTTACAGACAGTGAACTTTGAAGGTGCCTAGACCCAAATATCTTTGACAGAATTAACAGTATCAGTAAAACACAATATACATCATCTTATAGCTGGATAATTAGCATAGTGTATTTATCTCATTAATGATTAAGTACAGAGTTAACAGCACTACACACTCTTCTGTAGTATCTCTCTCTTTCACCGCTGTTCACACTCTTCTTGGATTCCTGCCATATATCTCCATCATATTTTCTCACTTGTTACTCAACTGCTTTGTTTTCCTCTGAGCTTTGCTGCTCAACCACCTAGTACTCTACCTCTATTTCTTATCTGAATATTGTCTAAGTTACTTTGCTCCAGTAACAGACACAGATTTATTAGCAAGTTCTCTTCCTGCTATCATCCCATTTCTATGTACTATCCCCAGGTATTTCAAAGAAGTTCAGGAAAAAGCATTTACTGGTAAAAGTTTTGTACTATGCAATAAGAGATTACTGATTCATTATTTCACTAAAAGGACTTTCAAAAGACCTGCCACATTCGATCTGTATGTGCCACATACTGCCTTCAAGGTGACTGTGACCTTTGCAATGGGTATAAAAACACCTATGTAATGGAAGAAGTGCAAAGACGTTTTACGTTTTAACCCACACAGAACGCTAAAGAATATGTTTGGTTTCCAAACCCACCTTGAATGCCTGACAGTCCTATAGGCAGTGGGAAGTGAGTGTTTTGCTTTTGAATGTGATCTAGACCTGGACTTAGATGATGAATGATACTTGAATGGTGATCGAGATCTTGACCGAGATCTTTTCTTGTGTTTTTTCCTTTTCTTTTCCTTTTCTTCATCCCTAGGAGGATCTCTGCTTCTGCTTGAAGGCCTTTCTGCTTGTTTAACTTCTAAGGTGGGCAAAGTTCTGACTGCAGTCACAGGACATGGTATACTACTGACGCTCTAAAATCAAAGATAAACAAAAAACAGTGATCAGTTTCCAAAATTAGTCAAAGTTAGCTACTGCTGCATTGGGATTACATAAAATATTCAGAAGTAAGGCTGACATCTTCAAACACATGCATAAAGAAAAATTTAATGGAGGCCTGTACAGTTTCCCAAAGACACACATGCAAGTTGGTATATGCATACTAAGATTGTCAGCTTAATCAGGACATAGTTCTGAAACTTTTCATCTTTAGTTTTTAGAAGAAATGTGTTGTAAAAGAATGGGCGCTATCAGGTATCTTTTAGTTTAATTACATGTTTTACTTAAAACAGGATAAACCTAGAAATACAATCAGGAACTAGTGACATTCAAAGCTAAGTTTTAGGGTCACTTTCCTCCATGAACTGTGCTGTTTGGATGACAATTTCAACAGCAAAATGAACAAGTAGTGATAGAAATTATGTCTGAACTTTTCAAAATAAATGTTCTAAATGTAAACAATTGGGAAGATCACAAGACAGAACAGGTCCATGCACAGTTAATGTTCAGTGAGTAATTCCAGCTGAAGGAGATTAAGCAAAATCATACCACAACATTTTCAAGTTATCAGCTTGAACCCCAGAGAATTCAGCTCAATGCCTTCTTTAGAACAATTCAAGTCAGGCACCATAGATATGCTCCTCATTTCAAAGCCTGTCATTCCCCCAGCTGCCATTTCAAGGCAACTGGAGAAATCCGTTTCCCTGTCATAATTTCTGCTCCACCTTATCTGAGTTTCACTGTTTGATACAAGGATACTTACCATGACTGGAATAAAAAGTAATACATTAAAACCTGAAATAACCAAATTAGAAACAGGTAATCTTTTTCTTTCTTTTTGCCCTTCTCCTACCATGAATACATAAAGATGGTAACTGAAAAATGACATTTGAATAATCAAAAAGGCAGCTCTGCTTCAAGTTAGAGACATGACACTTTTTCATGCTTTAACTGATAACTGTTATCACAATATTTACAAAACCAGCAACAAAGCAGTACTAAAGAAGCTTGCTTCAAAGATTATAAACATTTTACAGCATGATCATTTGAGTGGTTGAGTCCAGAGTCCTGTTTCCAATTTCACTAACTCCCATGTGTAACTGCAGGCACCTCACAGACACCTCCAGTTTCCTAAGAGGCCACCACAGTCGACTTTCATTCCTTTGACAACATTATTCACCTCTTGATATGGTACCTGAGCCTTTGCTTTGAACACTACTGAATATGGAACAGCCCAGTCTGCCTTGAAGTAGACACCTCTAGTAGCGTCAAATGAAAAAGTTGTAGGCAAAGGAGCATTAAGAGGAAAATGAGAGAGGAGAAAAACCCAATGGTTTTCACTGCTCAGGTTTGTTCGGCCATATAAAACACAAGCTCTCCTATCACTGCCAAGAAGGAAGTTAATAAATGAATGACACTGAGCAGGCTCTGCCAATATGCAGGCCAGCAGAACCGTTTTGGAAGGCATGGAAACAAAACTGTCACCTGATGAAATTTATTACACATCTCAAGGGATGAGAGATTTACATTGTCTGAGAGCTCTTCTAAGAAGGTAAACTGCAAACATTCAGATAGCATTCACTGAATCTCACTTCTTTGTCTATTTTTTTGGCCTACTAAACAGCATGTTTTTTTTGGCCTTTATTAAATGCTATGCTGTCAGACAAATTCTCTGGCAGAGTTGTTCTTCAGCATTTTATTTGCATGACTGAAGCAAATCTGACACAAGTAATGCCAAAACATGATTTGACAACTCTTGTTTAGCAGGAATGGATTAGGAAAGAGCTCTGTAAATAGGGAGAATTTATAGCCATATGAGAACAGAAATGAGTACTTCAGTGCATTTGCATATTTGCAGTATTCATAAGCTCAGAACATACATTAGTTATTCTGGGGTTACACTACTTAATCAATACTTAAAGTCAAAATTAGAAATTAACCAGAACATGCTTATTGCAACAGGAAAAAAACCCCTAGCACTGTGTCTGGTTCAACTAGCAAAGGACATTATCAATAATATTACAAACAGCTTATATGCATTCTACAGCAATTGGAATCCCATGTTAGATAAAAACTGCAAAGAGTGAAGAATGTCAGAATGCAAAAACTTAATCAACAATTCTTTCAGGTCACTAAAATCCAAAAGTACTCCAGATTCTTTTCTACCACTCTACCTTTCTTACTCCAGGTTCCTCAAAGCTTATAGTGAAGTATTCCCTGACTGAGAATTACAAAGCAGCTGTCTACCAGCAATGGAAGTGTATTATTTATGTATTCATTGATTTGTGGAACAAAGCAAGCTGTTACTCCTATTTAGAAGCCTGTCAGTCCCAGCATTCATGAACAGGCCCAAAATGTTAATTTGAAGGGATAAAAGTATTTCTTACAGAATACGCTCCTACAGAATTTGTTCTATAGGAACTCAAAGACTCAACAGTTTTATCAGGGTTACTCTGCTGCACCAAAAAACACCTTTTAGCAGTACACTGACCATGGTAAGGTCTTCAAAAACAGAGATTTTGACAGGGCCACCTGCAAGGAAATTAGTGGCTGTGAATCTGTTTGCTGTGTGGATCAATATACCCTTTTATTTTGAGCACTTTGAAAACTAAAAATCAACGCATAAATATTCTTACCTCTTCACCTATCTTAATTAAAATGGCAGTTCCTAATATTTACCCTGGTTCCCCCATTTAATAATGACTTAAGTATTTATGCTATGAGGAATTGCAACCCTCATGTAGTTTTTTAAAGCAGGGTTATTGCAATAAAAAAAAAAACCTAAATGCCACATTAGTATGTGACATTTATGTTTTTTCTTTATCTTGCTTTTTCAAAAGGACAGATGAATGTACAAGCAAACCTAACCTCCCCTCCCATGCTAATCAGAAGATGTAGATACCTATAGTCTGCAAAAAAAGTAAAGAAAAAAGTGAATGGTTCCAAAATATTAAAAAAAAAAATTATCTTTAAATACTTATGGGATGGTTTTTATTAGTCAATTATATTTTGCTCAAAAATTAACAAAGAAAATACACAAAACCTAAAATGATGTTATACATTATTATTATTTCAAAAAGGCATGCAGGAATATCTACAGTCCACTGCAAAAAAAGTAGGATAAACAACAGTAGTGTAAAAAACATACACTATCTACAGCTGTTGATAACCCTGTTATGCTTGACAAAACTAGAAGAGCATCTCATTTTTAAAACACAGCACACTTCTATTTCACTCATAAATAAGACTACTTTCCACAAGAAAAAAATAATTTTTACATACAGGACAAAAGTAAGGACAAGTCATCTAAAGAAACAAATGATAAAACAGGGCTTCAAAACCTGGGAAGATGAAAGAGCCAAAAGAAGGGAACTCTTGCTTTGTGCCACAGAATCTATATATTCAGAGGCATAACACCAGATGACATTTGGGACAAGCCATTAAAAAAGCATCACTTTCAAATCATGTGCTTGTCTGATTTTGCAACATAATGACTGTGGATTTCTCTTCTGTTTAAATCAGATACTAGGGTTTATACAGGTAAGTTTGGTATAACCAACTGGCTTTTACATGGCTATCAAAGCACTATCACCACTAAAACATTTCTGACACAGAGTAAAATATGACATTTAAACATGCAGAACAAAACATGCCGTGTCCCACTACCGAGGATATATAATCTTATTTCTTAAAATTTCAATTGAGTTAAATAATTTTGGAATGAGATTTGCATTTCAGATCATGAAACACCTTACTTTATTTGTTCTTAAGTAAAAAAGGCAGTTCAGTGAAGCACTCCATATAACCTGGCGTATTTCAGCTCAGCATGGTAGAACTGCAGTTGTTTGCTGTTCCAGGACAAGGAACCTACATTCATTGCAGAATGAAGGCAACTTCTCAGTGACACTGAGAGATGTGCTGAAGAGTCTATGTGAACCAAGACCAAGAGTCTATATGAATTACACATGTAAGCACAAGAAGGAAAACATCAACCTTTTACTGTTTCTCCATGTCCTGAACAAGGGCACAGACTTCACCGGCCACAGTATCACTGGAAGTTCATCAGTTCTGCTAACTAAAATAAGCTCCATGCTTTCCAAGTACTGGTCTGAGGAAATACTATGCCTAACTGTGCTGTTCTAATGCATGCAAGGACAGTAAGGAGCCATTTGTGAAAAGCTGTGCTGCTTCACTGCTCAAGTTTTTTCAGTCTTTTGTTTCTCTTGCTTGATTTCACTTTAAAGAAAAACAGGAAGCCATATAAAAGAAACAATTCAGCTATGGAAAACACAGAACAAACTATTTTTAAGACTCAGCTGAAGCCAAAAGAGCTTCGAAGCGCTCTGTTCTGGGGTACTGACTGTCCTTTACCTGCAGTTAGTAGAATCGATTTCATTCAAAGATGTAATGTACACTTGGTACCAGTGATCCTTTCAATAAATACAAAGTATCAGGAAAATCTGACAGAGGTCACAAATGCTTTCTGCATTTAATTTATTTCTGCACATCGCGATAAACAGATTTTCAGTGCAAATGTACGCTGTGTATACACATAAATAGCATTACTGTTTTTTTTATATACTTATTAGGCTGGGGCAATGTAATGGAGATTATGCACCTCCCATAGATATTCTCAACTCCTCTTTGTGCTTTATTATACAACTCAGTCATTCCTCCATTTTTGAGACAAATTTTAAGCTACAGAAATCATGTCACTAAATTAACTCTGACCCGTGTATCAGTCTTTGTTTCCTCGACTCCTCATTGGATGTTCCTACCCCCAAAACAAGAAATGAAATACATTTAGTGACGTTTCTGACAGACACAAGTATTTAATTTTTTATTTGTTTTCTGATTTAATTAGTTTTCTGTTTTAATTACCCCAATTAGTTCCATTGACCAAACTACCAAAATTTTACATATCTGTCTCGCTCAACTTTTTAACATACTTTATATTACAGCCACTGTAGTTATCTCCTGTTACGTTTGCAATCAGTATCTTTAGATGCATCTTTAGTCTGAAACATGGCTGAAAGTCTGAAACACTACTGAAAAAGCTTAAAAAACCAAACCAGGGCTACATATTTATTTACAAGCTGATTCAGACATCATAATGCAGCATACTGGGTTCTCAGGGTAAATAGAACAGAGGTTAACAAATCTGCAGTATTATTTCACTCATCTTTCTTCAATATGATTTCTTGACTGAAATGGGCTGTTACAAATAGGCAAAACAGGCAAGGAGAATAAAAGGCAGATTATTTGAAATGAATGGAAATGAATGCTTTTCTGAATATGGCAAATGAAAAAACAAGCTTGAAAAACATGTTTCAAAATAAGCTTTTATCTTCAAAAGTCTATATACATGTATCTAGGCAAGCGTGTCACTAAGCAAACCACATTTAGCAGGAATACTACTTCCAAAGACATTATGGCATTTTTGACTCTTCATTAAAACCGTACAAGCACTCCCAATACAATAGCCAATTTATTTTTAAAAAGCAATGTCACATCAGAAAATATTTAAATACACATCTGAAATTCTAAATAAACCCTTTAATAATAAAGAATTTCTACTGGTAAGAAACAGTGAAACTGATTACTTTAAAATTCTCAAATACACTGGAATTTTTTGTGTTAGAAAAAATAGATGCCTTCTCTGAGACTGTACTTCTGTGGAAGAAGAAAAAGAAGTTTCTAGAAATTCAATTTACTGAGAAGTGGGATAGGGTATAGTTTTTTGTTGAGAAGTTCACTAGCAAGTTCAGCTTAGAACTTCAGTAAGTTCAGATGTGAGCAAGAACACTCATCTGCTCTTCTGAAAAAGAGTCAACTCTCCCTGGTTATTTCAGGCATTCTCTTAAAGAAAAATATCAAAAGATCCTTAGCTTAGAAATGTCCATGTCCTTGACAAATTCCCTTGGGAAAAAGAGCAGAACTGCAAATATGGGGAGTTTTGCATTGTCATTGTCTCTTTACATTCACTCTTCAATATATAACTAAAAAGAGAAGTACTGAACACTTGTGTCAGGGAAAATTTGTTAGCAGTAGCAATGAAAAACCCAAACAGGATCTCTTTTGGGATGTGACCACACTTAATTCACATATCTGCCACTCTCTGCTGGTATGGATCACCTAAACTGCAGGTATGTCTCTTTCAACTTTTCTCTTGAAAGTGTTTTGAGGGGTAATCCATGATTTATTTGGAAAAATCGAGAACTGGGCAATGAACTACTTGCTAGGTACTGGAATTCTTTCTGAGGGAAAGGAAACAATTGAAAGCCATGTCATTATTTCTTGTAGCCAGTCTGTCACAATCAAAAGCTTAAATTTTCCATCGGTATCCAGAGATTACCTTTTGCTTGACTAGTGCAACCAAGAGTGATTTTACTGGCTTTTCTGAAAGCAAAGTAATTCCAAACCCAGGAACCCGAGATTCTACTTCAACAATATTTATATTTGTAATGTACAGCAAAACCATCAATATATACATCAAATGAGAAAGTTTCACAGCTTAAGTAAGCCATCCCAATATTCTTGCAAGGTGAGCATTCCAACACTTGGTTCACTAGTACACAGTTAAAACATGGAAGCACCTTTTCCTTTCTGTACCTGTCTAACTGACCTAGGAACTGTGCAGCCTACTTCTCTACCAGTTCTTTAATGACAGATGAGAGACATACATTTTAACAGTGTTTAAAATTCAAATTTCTCTCCATTTAGAAAAGCTTCTATTTCATCAGTCAAGGTCATAACACACTGTCAGAGTCACATTCTAGAGATAAGTTTTCTACCAGCTTTATGGGAAAGAGAAATTTATTTCTTGCTTACCTCACTACTGAAGGAGTTCTCCTCTATCTTCTCAGTTTCTGCCTCTGCCAAAGGGTTTTTCAGGGTCTGCAAGAACAAGGCAGCTTTCCTTTTGCGTTCCGCTTGTAGCTGCTTCTCCTTGGATTCTTTAGAGGCCTGTGCAAGTTTCTCCCTTGCTGCAGCTGCTAATCTATCCTCTAGTTTCTGCTTTGCTAAAAAAGACAATTAAGCATTAAGTTCAGAGTGAGTCATGCTTGGGGAACTCAGGCTTCCTTAAAACAAACACCTATCCCCATCCCAAACAGCCCCTCCAGGCATTCTCAAGCCTTCCCAATATAGCCATTCAATGACATGATAAGAACATCAGCTTGAAATTAAGAAACTCTAACCATCTTAATTAATACATACATCATTTGCTTAATGTAAAGCAGATATAAAGCAGTGAAGTAAAAACTTCTAACTTAAAATTACAAGAAAATCCAATCCTGATTATTCAGGATACTTATCCTTTTCTATTTATAAAAGCTATCTAAAGAAACTAGCTCCATAAAATGAGAAGCTTTTTAAGTCTTAAAGTGATGCTAACTCTCCAGTTTGCTCTTTCCACTGATGTGATCTTCACAGTTTCCATCCCTATTTAAATATATGTTAATACGTTTATAGAAAGAGCTGCTCCAGAAACTATTTCATCATTGTTACAACCGGCAGATTTTGTTGAGTGTGATTACATGTTGTACGTGATTACATGAAGAGAATAAGCGAATTGACTTAACTACGCACCTAACAGCTACTTAGTGTAGTGTTTTTCATCTTTCACTTTCATTTTTGTGCTTGGTATACATACAAAGCAACCAGATTGTTTTGTTCACAGGTTTTTCAACACACAGATCTTCCCAAGTGTGTTTTACTCTTCATTTTTATTATCATACAAAAAACTTCATATTTGCTTTAGATATGTAACACCACAGCATACTTTGTGCTACTGCAGTTTACAAAGCAACTGCAACTTCGAGGCAAAAAACCACCATTTTGAAAATTAAAAACTAAATACCTGTGGTATACTCGTAGTTGTGAGAAATACTAAATTTTTAAGCTGGTAAATACTGACAGAGCATCCATTTTAATAAGCACACTCTGCTGTGAAACAGCCTTGGGGAGGAATGGGTGAAACTGGCTTCTTTTAAAGCATTATTTCATTGAAATTCACACAGCATGCCCTTCTGCCCTAATGCACATTAACACAGTAACAGGAAAAACCCATACAAAGATTTAATGGCATTGCATTATAACAGCAACAAAGCATCAACAAGGCAATATCATTCTATATGGGCATGCTATATAAATGAAAAATAGCTTGTAGCAATTCACTGCTCACTGAAGAAAATGACAAACAGGTATGCCTTTGCTGGGCTTTGTTAATGCAATCTGGAAACTACACAGTCAGTGCTTTACTAGAAGGTTGTAATGAAAAACCAAAACAAAATTCAGAAAGATCAGGCATTAGGACAAAGCATTCAACCACCCCTGTGTGCTCTAAGTTTGACTTTGAACAACAATGAAGATTTCATTATTAAAAATAAGGAGGAAATTGTGGGAACAAAATTCTGGTTCTTATTAACATGACACATAAAATATTCAAAACACCTAGAATGTCACACATGGCCATTTCACAGTTTGTGTGAAGGACTCAATCCAGTTTGTTTTCAGTGCTGCATGGAATACCTTGTTTAGCTTCCAGCTCCTCCTGTGTAAGTTGAGGCTTTTTCTCTTCAGGAGCAGTACAAGGAGCAGTAATTGCTGGAGTATGGTTTGATGCACTGTTAGCACTCTCTTGGCCTTCCTTTCCCTCCTCTTCCTCCTCATCACTGTCATCATCTAATTTAACACGGTTTTTCTCCAAAGGAAGAAGGTCGTTTTCTTTGGCCTTGATTGCAAAGCTTATTGGAGCAAAGGATGCTGTGAATGAATGGGTAAGATTCCATGCATCATTAGACTACAGTAGAAGGCAGGTTCAATTTCCTGACTTTACCCATTACTCCTGCAGACTATGCCACAAAAAAAGTCATCATCCTATAACGCTAATTATTTTGGTGAAAAGGACAACATAATCCACTTTTTCTCTTTCTGTGTTTTTAAACAAACATGGGAAACTTCATTTGCAGTGTAAAGTTCTCAAAAAAAAAAAAAAACCAAACCAAACAAGAACTTGGCACTAATTTCTAACCCATTTATAAAAAAAAACACTTTAAAGAAAAATGAATAGAAGAATTTAATTTTTCACTACCTAGTACTGTACTGTCTGCTGCAATACTTATGTTCCTCAAGATGCTTTTTGCATATATGCCCTATGAGATTGCAAGTAGGGAAATTTAAATACAGTAATTAAATTACATACCAGGTTATAAAAGATAAGCTTTGATTCTGGTAATAACAGGGTAAGGAAATAGACTCAGAAACAAAGAACTCCAGAATTCCAAGAGAAGAGGTAACTGATTTCCAATTTTTTCATGGGATTGAACAAATCCTAAAATGGGATTTTATTTCCTCAGAGGCAGAAGAAAAGTCTAGTATGGATGCTATGTCTGTCTTGGAGGCAAGTACCACATTTAGGTTATAATAGAGTGGGATTTGTACCATATTAAAGGAAATGAAAATAAGTTTATAGGAATCAGATTGCCACAAAATGACTCACTGGTTATATTCCATTATGTAAATTCGAGCAGATTACTACTATTAAAGTCCAGGGTCCAGTTTGCCACTTATTAATAGCAGGACAACAGAAACAATACATATTTCTTGGTGTACATTGCAGCTCTTAATAAGGCATCTTTGAAGGCAGGGAAGATTGTTCCTTCTCCAGAGAAGCTACTCAAGCTGCTCAGAGAAGAAACTGCAGAGTCTGGAGAGTCAGACAGCCACAGCAAAGAGCCCAGTGTTTGCTGGTTGTGGAGGAAATGCGAGCACAGTGAGAAGCAAGAAGAGAGAATTCCAAGGAACCACAGGGAGTAGATAAAATTATCAGTAATTAGGTAAGCCACTCAGGTGGCAGGAAGGAAGTTTCCATTCATGGAAACCCAGTTAAAGAGTGCTTTTTCTGTTTGTTTTTTACAGTGGCTTTCAGTTCCAGTTAAAAGATGAACATTTTCAAGTTTTACTGAAAATAAGAATTTTTAACATATCTTCTCCTGACAGGACAATAAATCAGCTCCCAGATATAAACAATAATTTCTGTAACTCAGGACACTAATAGTGTGCTAGCTAGCTTTGAGTGGCTTCCAGAGAGATCTTCCCATTCTGTCCCTCTGCTGCCATGACTGCAAGAGTAAAAACATTTCATTTAGAAAAGGGCCTTTTCTTCCAGCAATACTAATGCATAACAACAAGGGAAGAATGAGCAACAATGCATCCTCCACATGTATCCTTTTAAATAAGACCACTGCTTTTCTTCAGAATGAATGATTCCACTCTTCCACAAAACTTATAGCTGTCAAGTTGAAAATAACAAAAAAAGATTTTACTGGCATCACTGATGAAAGCCTTCAACTTTGCACAAAACTGATGTAAAATAATTTATTGTGTCAGACCATAAATATCTGATAGTCTGATAAGTAAGAAATATGAAAGCAAGCAAATTACTTATTGCAGACTTTTTTGATGCCTGCAGTGAAAATGCATTTTTCACATGATGAAATTCTTTTCCCTACCTTCTTTTCTTTTTTTATGCATATGTTATGAAACATTTTCATGCCCAATAAATCATGTTTCCATACCTTTCACCAGTTTACCATCATTGACAGCTTTAGAAGGAATATCCTTTTTAGTTCCTGGAACCCCCTTAGCACTTGGCTCAGATGCATCTTCAGGTGCATGTTCATCTGCAAATTGAGTCTCACTCGGTGTATCATTGGAATTGTCTGATGGAACATCTTCAGAAGAAGACACTCCCTTTTCAAAAGAAATGAGCAGAATTACTAACAAGATACTTATGAAATCATTAATACAATGTCTGTGGAGCTGCAGTTTTGTCAGTCATTTGAAAAATCACATTATCAGTCAATCACACTACAGGTGATTTTATATCAGTCAGCACTCATGACCACAATTCCACCCCATGTCAACCCACAGGTTGTAAAACCTCCAGACCTACAGTAAGAACATGTTATTTTACAGCAAAAAAACCACACAAAAAAAGAAGGTCTTCAGCTGACACACTTTTGCCAAAACTGCTTTAAAACTGTATGTTTAAAATTAGACCCTAAAAGCATGAACTTCTTTTGTATATTTATTTAGGTCTTGATTTCCAGGGTCCCAAACCAAATCCATAAAGTCAATTCCAAGGGAGAGGGTGAAAGCTTGTGACACTTTTTCCTTATGTACAACTGCAGGTAAATTTTTCGCAGAATCAGATTTCACAGGAATAATGTTTGATTTGTTCCAACATTCTGCTGAAGAACACTGGGCCTAGCAAGGTTTTTTTGTCACAACAGATGTGCTGAGATTTTCAAGAAGGTAAAGCATTACTGGTTCTACCATTACATGACTGAAGCATTCAGCATGATTTCTAAACTCACATCAAAAAAAATTCAAGAAGGATATTATAAAACATTCAAAGTATTTGCACAGTGAGTCGCGTGGTAACATTAAGTAATTTAACATAGTCAACCAAGAGTTTGTTTGCTCTGGCTGGTATGCATAAATGACATTGAAACTGAGACATTTAGCAGATCTTCCCTGCAGCCATTCCCTGACCAACAGAACTGATTTCTGAAGGTCCTCAAAGGGGAAAAGCACAATGAAATCAAGCACTTTACCCTGTATTTACTGAAGTCAGTAGTACAGTTTCTTATAATTTTAATGGCCAAAAGGAAAAGCATCAGTTGCATTAGTTGCCTATACATATATTACTAGAGCATAAAGATAATATCAAAGTCATTATTTTAAGAAACTGAAGAGAATGGTATTATCTACAAAGCCATGCAGTACAAAAATATTCATTGCTATGCTTGACCTCAAGGGACTTAAACCAGTGTCAGTTTCTTTTTAGCTGTACTCATTTGAACATTTAAAATGAATCCTTTACACTATAATGCTTCGGTTAGTGTACAATTTCCCCCCAACTACACGTTAACAAGTCCTTATTAATTATGTAAGTATTATGCATTCAACCCCCTGGTTTGCAAATAACACTTTGTAGAACAACAGTCAGCATTGTGGCACAGGACAATTTTGGTTGTAATTTATCAGCTGAGTAAGATCATATTTACCATGGCTTATCTTTATAAATAGTGTTTCCAAAACATTTTTTCACTATTAAAACAAAACATCAGACACAAGTGTTCCAAACAGCAACCATTATTGAATTTCTTCATTTTCCACAAAGCAATTCCGAGGAGTTTACCCACAGGCCTACCTTCTTCAGTTTAAGGCTCCCCAATCTAAGCCTTGAGATGACAAATGACATAGGGCCTAAAAAAAAAATAGCTCTTTCCCATGAAAAGTTAACATCAGATAATGTAGTTCTGATATTATTTGCAATTTTTTTTTCAGTAAGAGAACAATCTAATTATCTAACATGAGAATAGTTAAAAACATGGATGCCAAGTCTGGCTGCCACTTTCTAATAACATGGACTAGAAGAAGCAAAGCAAGTAAGAAACTGTGAGATTCTGAAGCTCCAGTATTGTTGCAGTCATGACTGGACTCTAACAAAACCTCCCTCAGAAAAAGGCATGTCAGAAAGCTCCTCCAGCCTCTGTGCTACTGTTGTACAAAGAAGGTCGAGGCATATGGGAAGGTATGGGGGTTAAAAGCCATAGCTAACCCTTCTGACAGCAGAACACTAATCACAATCCTACAAAGCTCTAAACCTATACAAAGCATATTTTCCCTCGTATAGAAAGCCAGAAGATCTTCAGGCTGTCATTTTATATTACAGCCACAGTCGACTGGCATATAGTAAAAAGCAAGAATTAAATATCACACCACCTCACAGATCCTTACTTTAATGCTGTACAAAACTAAAAAACTACAAAAAGCATTCACATCCTTTGCTGATCAATTTCTTCCTAATTTAGCGTTCCACTTTTAAAATATCTCATGGTAAGACAACTGGTAAGTCCTTTTCTCACATTTACTGCATTTTTAATAGAAGTATGTATAAAAATACATGTACCTGGCAATTGTCACCACTCTCTTTTTGAAGGAAGAACTGTTTTTTAAATTCATAATATGCATTATACTGGTGCCATGGTTGCAGGAATTCAAACCTGTTGAAAGAAAACTGAGCATGTGAAGATGCACATGAACACAGCTAAAACTAACAATTCCTTACCATCTAGTCTTCTCTAGCAAATGGATTGTTATTTGATGTTTAGAAGCACTCTTACTTAATCCTAAACTTCAGAGGATACGAATTCAGAGCATGCTTACTAGAGACATTTTTGACAGGTTGGTTGTTTTGATAATTTGAGCCATAATGCTTTCCCATTGCCATTAAGCATGTCCCTAAATTTCAATTAAACAAAAAAGCAAACAATAATACTCCTCTTCTCAAAACCTGCATGTCCTGCATTTTAATATCTTAAAAAATTAAAACCTTAGCTTTTGAAATAGCAGTTTAAACAACATTTTCTCTTACCTGAGATCATTCTTGGCACGAACACTAGTTTCAAATTTTACCCCATTCCTAGCAACATACTCAGCTAGCTTGTCAATAACAGGCTGGATATCTGGAGGTGGAGGTATAATGGCAACCACTGGAGCAATTGTGCTGAAAACATCACAAGTAAATGTTTTTTAAAAATAGAACAAAAATCTTTCAGACTTTTGCTTTAACAAAAAAAAAAAAAAAAAACCCAAAAAACAAAAACAAAACCCTAAACAAACAAAAACCAAAACAAAGTCAACAAAAAAATCCCTGAACAAACAATACAGAGATGTTTGTTCTCTTTGTTCATCGTGCTGTTAAAATAGTTTGATTCAATAACAGAACCCTTGCTAAGCACTCCGTATTGAAGTGCAGGAACACGACTCCCCCAGTCAACAAGCAAATCTGTCCGAGGTACCTTGTAGATGTTGTGGTGGAAGCCAACCCACTGGTGCTGTCAGTTGTGTCTGGGGGAGGCGGGGGTGTGGTACCAGGAGGGGGAGGAACTGTCGCTACCCCTGTAGCGCTGGACACAGTCACCCCTGGGGGCAGGGCATTGTAGTAGGCAGCAACATCAATTCCCGGCGGTGGAGGCGCCAGGCAATAGGTGCCATCTGGGAGCATGTAGTAGCTGTAATACATGGCTGCCACAGTTGCTACAAAGACACATTTAAGAACAAACTTCTAATTAGACGGAAACCACCCAACGCCATGCATTATTACATTAATACAAACACACTGAGAATCCGGATTCACACAACACACTGTGAAACGCCATCTCATTTCTCATGTAAAAAACAAAAAACAACCAAACACAAGGTAAAAAAGGAAAGGCTCACATTAACAAATTTAGGATGAGTAGGAAATATGTAGATTATGGGACAGAATGCAAATGTACTGAGGGTCATGGACGTGAATAAAGAAGTGAACTAGAGTAGGCATATTTAAAAAGGAGCTAGTATGAAATCACACTTCCTAATCTAATTCATGTCTGGTAATTTAACTCCATTGAAACTGTTTTCATTAAGAAGGAAATGTGCATATATTCAAAATTAGCATTAACAAACTAAACCACTAGAATCACTATACACATATTAAAGCCCTATATTATATATATATATATATAATATATATAATATATATAATATTATATATAGGAGACATATATAGGCAATACAATATTTCAAATTAATTACAGTAAGAGTTTGCACCTCTAGAAGCAAGGTTTAATCAATGCACTAGATTTCAATGAATTATTATCTTAAAAGTTTAATAAACATTCTCATGTGGCAGTATTTACTTTCTTCAAAGAATAAAATGTAATGAGAACAGAATACAGTTCTGTTAAGTTTTAAAAGCAGGGAGAGGAGTTGCAAACTGATCTAGTTTTGGTACTAAATTATAATCTCCCAGTTTCTATCATATACGTTTACGTTCAAAGCTGACATGAAAGTAATCAAAAAGCTGACTAGCTCTGTTCTATTAAGATACTTATTCTGATTTTTTTCTTTCTTGAAATAACCAGTGATTTTCAATTTCTTCACAGAAATCTTACTTTGATTTTAAGATTCCCTTATGGCACAGTTTTAAATACAAATTACTTCCTTGCATATACACATTACACTGACAACACCTGTAATCCTTTGGGGGTTCTGAATCTATGATGCATAAAAATCAACTCAGTTATTACGGTGATAACTGATCTGCAGCAACGCTGCTGAAAAACCAAGAACTCAATCAGCACCACACTGGTCATTACTTACAAATGCATAATAACATGAAACTCTACTGTAGCGAAGGCTTCACTACAAATTTTCTTATATCTCAGTAGCGTCATATTGTCAGTCCCATAAATAAAAGGGTAAGTTGCATTTCTGTATTTAAGGAATCAAGGACTTTCAGAATTCTGAAAGCTGAAAAGAATTAAGAGGCACACAAACTCATTTAAGCTTGACTATCTTTTTAAGTACCAGAATTTACAAAATCTGCAAGAACAAAATAATATAATAAGGGTATTGTTCTAAACATACTCACAGACTGGAGACTTGGCCTCCTGCCTGCTCACCCCCAACACACCATTCCTGGTTTCCCTGAGCTGCCACTCAACAGATACTCAGAACAGAACTTCAAAAATTCAGGAGATTGCAAAAGAACTAACACACAGGATGAAGCATGAAGCCAAACTTATTCTCTTCCCACCAGCATCCACACACAATTCATCAAAACACACCACCAGCTGCCTCCTCACAAAGCACTTACAATCAGAGGAATATTCTGCCTGTGATGTCTGCACAGCTGCCCCGTCTGTTGACTGTGGCGTAGATGAATTATTATCTGATTGTGCTTTGCGCACCAGTGCTGCAAGGGGGTGATCAGGGTCCACCACCTTCAAAGGCTGAAAATATTTTGAAGTAGGAAAAAAGATTAAAATTGAAGTACATATTTTAAGAACAGGAGCATCAACATATTTGGGAAAGCAAATTTATCTATGTTAATAGACATCAGGAATTATGTGCAAACACTGAAGTTACTGTTTTTGTAGCTCTCACATCCGAATCAATGTATTTGAAAATAAGTAAAAAACAAGACAAAACCATTTTCATGTAAACAGAAATTAATGACAGAAAAAAAATGGTTATTACTGTTAGCCAGTGACTGCCCTGTCTGGGATAAGGCACAAAACCTGCCTTGTCTAAATATCAGACAGCATCACAGCCATTCCTCTGAAAGCCTCAGATACATACAACTGTCTGTCACTCCTATTATTCCATTGCTGCTCAGTCTCAGAAAATAAAAACAACTAACACATCTAGCAAAATTTACATGTAATGAGTGCAAATTCTGGTGAACTATTTACTTGCTGGAACTGTTATTTCATGTCAACATTTTATCTACTAAAACCTAAGAGGAAAAAGATATCTCTCTCAGCTTATATACAGAAGGCATTAAATACCTTAATCTCTTTGCTTCAACACAGGTTCTGTAGGATAAATCCTTAAGTGGTGCCCTCAATACCAGAGGGCATCAGAAACAGAAATCTAATTCCTTGGAAATGTAAAAAAACCAATTTGTGTACTAGAGAAAAGGTAACTCAAAAGTTTACCAAAACAGAGTTAAATTACAGTCCAAAAAAAACCCCAGACCTCTGTCCATAAAAGACCTGAGCACCTGCGTATTAGAATTTTTGTGTCCATGAATCAGGTGTTTTACAAGATAAAAAGGTAATTTTAATAATGTCAAGTACCTTCATGAGCTCTTCAAGCCTACTGCATTTTTTAGATGCAAAAAGACTTGGATGAAGATAATTTCCATCATCGTCATCATCATCATCATCATCTTCCTCAGATTTGACTTTCGAGTCTAAATAAAAGCAAAGTCTGAATTTTATTTGTGTTTGCTATGGCCTTGCTTTGGGGGAGAATGATGATACAGGACAAGCATGAATTCTTAGGAAAGCATCATTCATATACATCAGCTTAGTCACAAAAGCATAGATCCAAGATATTGCCCAACATCAATAAAACTGAACCCTAAATAGACAGACCAACCTTCAGTTGGACTTGAGCTATATGATTGTTTCTAAAACTTCCACATCATAGCAGCTCCTGTAGCTGAAAGTTTCCACAAACCATATTTTTTTCTTTTAAATCTCCAATTTAAGCAAAATTTTGAATCATCACATCAATCTCAGCTGCAGTGGAATTCCAGAAAAACGTGGCTATTTTAACAAAATGACCAGCATCTGTTTCACTGATTCCCCATCCTGAAGCCAGCATTTCCCAAGGAAAAACTCACGTTTTTTCTCGTCAGCTTTACTTTCCGAAGGAGCCGCATAGCGTCCTTCCTTCATGGCCTTCTGGATGAATTTGTAGTAGGGATTGAGGTAGTGATCAAACCGCAGAAAGTCAAACTGGGAGTTGCGTGCTTGCTTGGCTTTCAGCATGATCTCAAACTGGGCTCCCTGCTTGCACACAAAGTTTGCAGTTCGCTCAATGATCGCATGCATTTTTGCCGTTGGTGGCTGTGAAAGTAAAATAAGACATATTTGTATTTTCATAAGCAACTTGTACAGTGTGTTAGAACTCCAAAGGGAATCAGAAAGTAGTTCCCTGTCCTTCTCGGCTTTCTTTAGCAACTTAAGTTTCATAATCACTTAAAACTAGTGATAGTACATCAGCCCTAAAAAAATAACCAAAACAGTCCCAAACTTCCTCAGCTGCTCAATCCATTCCTCTTGCAAGATCCTCTTCTTTTACCAGCACTGCTGTTTCTGCATTGAACACCAAACTGAAGAGGGCAACAGATCCTGGATGACCTTGGTGTTACAATATCTCAAGGTGCTCTGAACACTCAACATGTATGGTTTCCTTCCCACAAGCTGTCCTTAATTCTGTTATCTCTGAATGCACAAATATTGCTCCCTAACTAGAAATTTCTTACTTCGTATTTGTTTGGGAAGAACATGTTGCCTCTCAAGACCAACATCCAAACTACAATTCCCACGTCCATTCCCTTAAGAGTCATTGAAAGCTGCAGCAATAAAGCAAAAGATAAAGTAAATAAAGTTTAGCAGCATCCTTGCTTTTTCACTCCAGAAATCCCTAGAGAGCAGTGTGATATGAAACCCAAGATGTGAAGAGAACAGGAGTACAGTTAAAGAATGAATGAACATTAGTCATCGCTTTTAATCTCGTACTCAGCTGTTTCATCTTGTACTCAGTAAACTGTAAAAAAACAATCTGTGTGCCTATGAAGACTGGAGTGTCACATTAATTTGGTTTAGCTCTGCATTTTTACTGCACAGATAACCGGCTACAAACCTCAGATGCAAACCTCAGTTGCAAACCTCAGAAAATGTTTCTCAGAAGACTGGAAACACCTGAGACAAAGGCGCTCCACGTAGGGAAAAATCTGAACACTATCAAACAGTACAATTTTAAAAGCTGTTTTCTGCCAATTGGATCCTTTACCAGGACATGTTCAATATGAAAAATAACTGGCTGTTTCAAGTTTTATTTGTCCTGCTAAAACCCCAGCAAATATTGCTTTAATGAGAGGCAATGATGTTCTTAAACTTGTAACATTTTGTGCATTATCAGCTTCACATCATGTATCAAGTTTTTTTCTATCTCTCCTCAGAAGTTATTAAGCAGAAATTTCCTCTAACAGGCCACTTCAAGAGCATCCACAGACTTCTTAAAGTGCCCTGGTGAAGAACAACCATCTTTGTCCATTATCACTTTAAAGCAGTGGAAGACCTTTGACCTGCTTCTCACAGTTCTTCCATTCTAAACTCCAGAATGATATTACTGCTGCAATTGGAGCTGCCATACACTGAACATTCCATAGTTCTTTTTTTTGCTGCCTGGCTTGTCTTCACGAAATACTTCCACTTTGCTTTGATCTCTATTACAGGAGATATAAAGTATGTGTCTTTATTGAACTGCACCTTGCAGACTGGGAGCAGTCTCCCAGTCTAGCAAGCTGATTCTCAAATTTCTTAAATTTAAGCAGAATAAATATCTTCCATGGTAAAGCTGAATGACTTGAATAGAACACCAACAACAAATCAAGGCTTACAAAAAAAATTCTCACAATTCCCAATCCAAGGTTAAGTATACACTGCTTTCAGAGCTGCTGTCTAGACATTTTGATGCTTGTTGGTTTTATTTTTATTTTAATCAAAACCAAATACACCTCTATTTGCTTTCTGTTTATGTGAATATACTGGAGTCCAACAGCTGATTGAGAAATTACTTTAGTAAGGCCCACACTGCACTAGGCAATGTAAATAGGAAATACAGCCTAAATTTCAGAAAAAAACTCAAGCCAGGCAGCTATCTAAACCAACACTCTTTCACCAGCAGGTAAGTTTTGGAAACAGTTTCAAAATGCAAAATAAGAACCTTTTCTCTGAAAACTCAAGGTTCTTTAAATAAAAGCTAATGAAAAATAGAAACACACAAATACTCTGTGCTCAGTATTAGTTATTCTAAAGGAATGTTCTGAGTCTTCACTAGCCAACGTTATCAAGGTGAGAATACCAAACTGAGCCCACAACTAAATTAACACTTTCATGACCACAGTTATACAAGAAAGAATATGACCTGATTTTCCAGCATCTTTTATGAAACTTGAAATACATTGAAAACCCCTATAATTAGACCTGTACTCAAGCAGGTGTCTGTTCAGCTCCCTTCAAGAACAATACACAAGTCCAATTAAGTCTACAGAACACAGCAAATTCTAGCAACATCACATGAAGGAAGGCGCTTCTATGTTCTAATACTTTCAAGGTATTTCAGACTTTGCTAGAAATAAATTACTGTTTTTCTCCTCGAATATGCTAGTTTTATATACAGCATTAACAACTGATCAGTTCCTATCCCCTTCAGACTGGGACCCGATTAAAAAGATTCTAGACAAGAATTCTTGAACACAAGCAAACTTTTAGTTTAATAGTCCTTTATGTTTGGAATGTTGAATCTTACATCTCAGCAAGCATCCATTCCAAGAACAACTGCCTCTTCTCTGCATTAGCTAAAATAATATCACAAGTGATACCAAATGCACTTAGCATAAGCACAGCAATCATTTCAGTGTGAAAAAGAAGATTCAAGGGTGTTCACGGAACTCAAGAGTTCACAACAGAACACCTGAAATTAACTTACTACATTAGAATTTAAAATGTACCACGCTAAAAGTTAATTGAAAAGAAACGAACCCAACCACCAAACAGAGCACCATCAACTGCTCAAAAGCTGGCAGAAGTGTAGGCTGCATTACATGTACACATACCAGTTCCACATCAGAGGGTACATTCAGTCCTGGAGGGGCAACAAAAGGTTCCTCATTTTCCTCTGTATTTTCTGTCTGAGCCATTTCTGCAAGAAATGCCAAAACAAAGTATTTAGGAAAAAAAAACAAAGTACACAAATGCTTAAATTTTTTTTTAAATAAAGTATTTCTAAAATGATGTGCAATCAAGGAACTAATCAAATGCAGCTATATAAACTGCATTTATACTGAAGACATTTAAATCTGGTTTAAAAGAATAACATGTATTACAGTCCACTATTTGATATAGCAGAAATATTCCTCTGAAAATACTTTGCTTTACAGATTTTTATAATAATTGAAGTTAAAAGTTTACTTCTTAAAGATCTTATAGTATTATCTATTCCACTAGCCTTAAGAGAAATTGTATTCCCCTTTCCCCCTGACAGATTAGAACAAGTGCAGGAACACCTGACCATGGGAGCTGTGGAAACAGAACAACCCCGTAAGGAATGAGATGTCCCAATGATTACTGAGGACAAACCATGCAACAAGGGGAATTCACTTTTTTGATTACTTTCTAGTGGGTTTGGTTTTGTTTTGTTTTTTGTAATGAACTCAAACAGTTTAACTCCACAAAGGTACAGAGAAATTTTAGCAGCCAAGAAAGGAAAGAACAGCAGACAAGAAGAATACACTGTTTCTTTTGGCAGCAGCTCCAGCTAACAGTATGTGGTTATAGGGTCTGAAACAAATTAATTAAACTCCAGAAAAGACAATCAATTCTGCTTCAGTATAAAAGTACACAATCTCTCAGACACAGCAAAAAACACTAAATAAACTTTAGCACCTAAAATGATCTTGCACTGCAACTTGGAGGGAAAAAACCACATATCACAGTAACCCACCAAGATATAATTGAGCAACCCAATTGTTAATTAAACAATCCTCACTTTACTAAGACATAGTTCAACAACATTTGAAACCTTCCTAAAGAATGTATGACAAAAATATGAAGTTACTGGAATTATAGATGACAACATGACAACTGAATTCTGTATTTTTGAGGTCATGGAGCAGGGCACACTAAGCTGAAGACAGACTCATTTATAGCAATTAAGATGACAAAATCAGAACTTAGAAATTTACATTCTTATTAATTATTATTTTATGCTTGCAGTGATATTTTTCATCTTGACTGAGAAACACAGTGTTAGCAGACAGCCAATGTAAGGAATTACTATTTTTTCCTGTTAAGAATCAGCATGACAGCAGAATTAAATTCCCCGACTACTGCAGTACTGACTGTGCCATAGCAGGAAAACATTTTTAAGCTCAAAGAGAACAAAGTCTTCAAAAACTCAGTAACAGAGTACCATAAAGACTGATGAAATGTTCTCAGAATTTTTAATTGCTTTTTAATAGCACATATATTTTAAACACTCAACTGCAAGACAGAAGTGCTATGTCCCCCACTTTCAATTAACCCTTGTTATTTTAACCCCATACCTCTTTGTCTTGCAGGCTGATGCTCCTCCTCTTCAGTGGGTTCTGACGGGTCATAATAATCACTGCCATAACGGAATCCCACTGCATTATAGGTACCATCCTCTGCCAAAGCTTCACTGAGTCTTTTATATTCCTCCTCTTGAACAAAAATACGATTGCCAACATTAGAACGTGTTCAGAAGCTAATTTATTTTTTAAAAAGTAATATTTCTTACTTTAGTTTTTAAATAAGAACTTTTCTCCTGATCACTTTAGCTGTCATTAAAAACGGAACAGAAAAACAAGTATGCCCCCATGCTGACCATTTCTTTCTCCTCGAAGAGACACAGGCTGTGGATTAAGACATTCTAATGCAATTATGCATATAAAAGCACAGAATTTCCTTTAAACAACACTAAAAATGAAGAAGAATGTGTTTATTTTGGGGGGGTCCGAAATCCCAGTCTGCCCTCAGAATCTGGGCAATTTCTCTGTGGATCTACAGTTAAACTATCCTAGGGTCCTCTCACATACGCAGAGACTCCTGCTTTTCGAATCCACTGGGTACTGTCAAGATAATATCAGAAAAAGAGAGTATAAAATTAGGAGTAAATTTAGTTTCATAATAATTTATTTAAACCTGCTTTTTAAAATAACCATGTTATTCCTTGAGCAGTACCTTGCCTTGCCTCCTCCTCAAGCAAGTCCGTATGCAAGGCTAAATACCTCTCTTCATCACAGAGGGCTTCTATTCTAGCCTCCTCTTCAGACAATTGATAATCTCTGTTCCAGGTGGAATACTCAGCATCATATTCAGAAAGGTCATGCAGGTGACCACGCCCATCATACCTGCAGGATGAAACAGCTGGTCAATGCAAAGAACTTAGGGCTTGGGTTTATGCGACTACTTAAATACTTACCCAATAAAAATGAAAAAAAAAAACAACTTATATGTTAACGCATACTCCCTTTTAGAAGTTACAATTAATTTTGCTAATCATTTGTCACCAACTATCGAAAATTTGTTTAATAGTCTAAATTCCTCTCAAAGAAACTAATAAATTATTACAATTAAAGCCAAAGGTATCCTTTAATAGTTTTAAGTGAGATCCACTTCCTTAACAGCTCTTACCGTACGTGCTTCAACCAACCAATCAATGCCACTTGCAAAATACGTTTTTCTGGAAAGTCAAATAGCTTACATTCACACAAACCCGAGTACATAAATACCTATCCGTAAGAACCAAACGGTCGAAATTTCCTCGCTTCTTTCTGCTAGTCCCGAACTCTCAGGAGAAATCTTCACCAAAGAAACTTGCGTCCATTGGAGGTAAAATCATGGCTAGGCTCGGCCCCTAGCCATTTGGCTGAGGAAATAAGTTCTGGGTTATGTGATAGAGAGACACACATACATAGGAACAGTAACATAAACATGCAATTTAAGGAGGTTCACCGCAAAATCGGCAAAGATCAAAGATGTACAGTTCCTTTCTACTACGAAATCACTTTATTTGCAGGAAAAGCACTGCATTGGGATAATGTTTACGCATCAGTAAGAGAAACTGATTGGAAAGTAAAGTGACAGTAAGCTTGACTCCGCTGAGGTGTCTTCCCACACACAACTCTTGACTTGTGCCAACTTGCTAGACCAAAAACAAAGAAAGTAAATATTCTTATAGCAAAAAGCAAATGAAACATAGGTCTGGTTAATCAAGCTCTGTCCACAGGCAAATCTGAACCCAAGTCTTCTCATAGCAATGTGCTTTTCTCAAAATGGTGAAAATGAAGACTTCCTGCTGCTGGAGATAAAAGGAATCTAAGCTTCCAAAGGAGTTTATAAGATTAGCAATTGCAAGCTGCCTTAACTCACAAATGTACCGTTATTTGGTATTTCAGTATGTGTGCACAGACATGCACATACTTAGTGTTTGCTCTCTACAATTTCTGTAACACCTGCAAACAGGCCTCTGCTGCAGAGAACCCCAAAACCCGCCTCTACCTATGAATGAAATCAATCACAGTAATTATTTTAGTTATTATTTTTGATTTTTTAGAAGTGTGCAACACAACACTTCCACTCCTGTGTGAGAAATGAAACAAAACTACAAATAATTATGGTTGCTTTGTCCTGCCTTCGTGTCTATGTCAATTTAACAAATTTATTTCAATGGCAATGATCATTAATGGAGTAAGCACCAAAACAGCGCAAGGGCACTTTCTTTTTTCTCCAGTCCTATGGAAGGCAATCAAAAGACCTTCCTCTACTGACATTTTTCCAAAACAAATATGGTTTTAAGTCAAAATAAGAAAATCCTGTCTAGCACTAAAGCAGTGATAAAACTGAGGGAACAAATATCTATAGTATGTTATGTGACCCTTTTCAAATCAAAATCCTTCCATCTTTTCCACTGAGGTTTTCACGGTCAGCCACAACTTGTAATTATTCCTTCAGTGCTCCACTCAAACATAGCCAACCTGATCTCTCATCTTCACTTTGTCCAACAAAACATTCAGGTAACCCTTTCTGAATGAGTTTATTTCCAAATCCCACCCTGAAACAACTCAAGAGACCAGAAGAAACATCAAAGCAGATTCTATTACTCTCTGCGGCCACAAACCTGGACCTATGGCAGAACAACCAAGAAGCCAGCCCTGACATAAAATTTCAAGAGCAAGCACCCAAAATCAAATCCATTCTGTCTGATGCAGTAAATCATGGCACCAGGAAAAGTAAAGAGACCAAGAACTACTTCTGGGGTGTCCCATCAACAGCCTGCAGCCAGATTATGTAGGAGAAACAGGAAATCCCCATTTTCTTTAAGATGGATAAACACCTTTGCACTCCCAACACTGCCCCATTCTCACCTACAGAACATACAATGTGCCTAATAAATACTCCGACAATCAGGCTCCCTTGGATTCCAAGCGAAAAAAAGAGGATGTTTGTGGTTTGCACTGAAAAGGAACAGATCATTCCCACTCTCCACCCTGCCGAACCTGCCTTGACAAGCGGAGCAGAAAGACCCATCGCACGCTGCCGGCCAGGAGGAGGGATCTCCCAGCGCTGCGAGAGCGGGAAACCCCAAGTTCCCGCAGACGGGGGGGGGCCTGCAGCGTTCCCAGAGCACCCTCGGAGCGCTGTGCCGGGAGCAGCTGCCTCCAGCCTCGCCACGGAAGATCCCGACGCACCTGCCAGAGCGAGCCGTCTGCTCACCCCCCGCCCTCACTGCCCACAGCACAAGGGGGGGAACAGAAAGAGGCTATCACAGGAGATCTCGCAGCACAGTCTGGGGGTTGTGTTACACCGACCTATCGATCATGATCTTGGGGTCTCCCATCCAAGGAATAAGGTGTCGCCCCTGCTCCTGGTACTGAGCCTTCTCATCATCCCGAAACAGCTTGCAGGCATAGCCGAACACCAGCAGCTCCACACGGCTACTCCCGCCTCCACCTCCACCTCCTCCGGGGGGGCCGGGCACCGTTCCCCCGCCTGACAACAACATTAGGGGCGGCGGGCCTGCTTCTTCTGCAGTCCGTCGAGACCCTCCGAGCCCTCCGTACATCACCGGGGAGCGCAGCGAGGCGGAGGCGGCTCGCAGGAGCACCGACTATCCGAGCAGCGAGTCCCCGCACGGCCAGGCCCGCGCTAAAGCCCCCGGCCGCAGAGCACCACAGCCGCCATCACCCGAAACAAAATGGCGACACTTCCGGTTCCGCTGGAGGCCCAGGGACGGGCTGGCTTTTGGCGACCGCAGATTCGAGTCAAGTTCCGGCAGCCCGAATGTTAAATCCGAGGATAACGTGACTGCGCGGTACCGGCGAGGACACTACGCGCTCACTGACAACGGTCGAGGCCCGGCGGAGCGGTGGAGCCATGGGCGCGGCCGTGACGAAAGTGCAGCACGGCGGAGGGCGGGGCGGTGCCGCCCGGCGCGCTGAGGGCCCGAGGTGGGCGGGGAGCGGCGGGCTCCGCTGGAGCGGGCTCGAGGAGCTTAAAAACAAAACCAAAACAAATCCTGGTGTCCGCCGCGCTGCTTTGGAGCCCCAGCAGAGGCTGAGGGGCTCAAGGCAGTGCAAGGACCTGCAGTATAAAGCGGGCATCAACCTCAGGCTGCGCCCATGAAGCTCGAGAGGAAAGCCTGGGAGGCAGGGTGGGAATCACAGAATCCATGCGGTTGGGAAAAGAGCTCTGAGACCATCGAATCCAATCTATGACCGAACACCACCTTATAAAGCAGACCAGGGCACCGAGTGCCACGTCCAGTCTTTGAAAGGGGAGAGGGAGGACTTGGGGCACTGACTAAAAATATTTTAAGAAAGTTTATAATCTAGAGAATTTTTTTTACTAAAATTGTTTGACTTGGGCTGAAATTTTCAAAGTTGTGTACTTCGTGGTTATTACTTTCATCACTCTTCAAGAAGTATGAAGAAACACGTTGTTTTGTATATTTTATAATAAAATTCTGTAAGGAAGCTCATGGTGTTTTGTGATTCAGAGTGGGAATTATGCCATATCCTTAGTTTCTGAGTGCCCATAAATGCTGGCAGAGCTGGTGGAATGTGTGAAAAACTCTTGGCATCGTTGTGCAGACAGGGTTAAAATATGTAAAATAGCAAGGGAAGAAATGCAGCAGCACTGAAAGAGGTGGATATTTTATATCCGCATTTAGAACTCCTACCATGTGAACTTGTCAGAGGATACCAAGTGTACGGATGGGAACGCACTTGATCATTGTGGAACAATTTGATACCAGCTTGAAAACACTTGGGGTCAAAAAAAGAGTAGGAGAAAAAATAAAAATAAAATGAAGAAAAATATAAAACTAAGAAAACAAACAAAAAGTTTTTGATGGGGACTGTAAGAAAGCAATGTGTGGTGATGATTTTTGTGACTTCCCTAAGTCCTTTGGTAATGCAAAGGATTCAGCAGCAAGATAGTACAGCACAAAAAGGGCTCTGTGCAGTAGAAGTGGCAGCATTATAAGATAGCTTCAGACCATTTTCCTGGGATATCAGCATTTAAGACAAGGACGAGAACAGTGCATAGGTCAGATAAGGGACAAAAATGGAAGACTTAGTTAAAATAATGTAATTACAGAAAGATGGAGGGAGTATTTTATCCAGTAAAGCATTTTCCAGACAGCTGAGCCATTTCTAGAAGAACGAAGAGCTGACCAGAACACCCAGGAACAATAAAGCACTGGGTGTTGATAATGTTCCCACTGAGTTATTATGAATGGAAGGGAAAATTGCCTTAAAAATAAATTTGTGTTAATTTGGTAGCTTGAAAACAAAGAAATGGTAAAGGGGAATCATGTGTCTGTTTTTGAGAAAAGGGACAAAACGAAGCTTGAGGGTTGGGCAGTATCTTTCTGTATACTGCAGCACGTGATGTTCTCAGCTCTCTGTTCACATATCATTAGCCTGTCATCAAAAGAGGGATTCAGAAAGGTTTCTGAAATAACAGGACAACTGCAGCACAGTTCTTTTCTGATTATTGTGCACCTGAGGGAAAGAACAGAAATATAAACAGACTGCATAAAGATTTTCAATATATTTATGCAAGTTTGTCATAATGCATTATGAATTTGCATTGGAATAAAAAAGCACCCATCCCTTCCTTTTTTCCCCAGCATGAGTAAAAAATTAAACTTTTTTCCTTTTTATTTACTCTAGACCAACATTGGGAAGAAAATGCGGTGCTGATCATGGCACATGGTATGCCTTTTTACCACATTTAACAATACAACCAGTTTTAATATCTACGAGTAAGAAAAAAAAATATGTTGAGCTTACTACAGACTTGTAAAGTCTTTATATGATAGGATGACCATGTTGGTACATTCAGACCCTTGATTAGTCCCAGCTGTTCTGGCTGCATTGCAGAGAGGGAAAGTGTTGTAATGAGGAAAATTTACACAATCTCTATCCCACTCACTGTATTTATTTTCATTTTGCTATAGGTAGGGAAACACAGACAAGCTGTTATTTCCTAGGCTGATAACAGTCCATTTTCCTCTATCTTAATGGAAGTGCAGTCATTTAGTATCAGTTTGCAGTTTAGCTAAAAGCGGATAATAACATTTATTCTCTAGTTCTGAAATTTGAAAAAAAGTGTGCTGTGCTGATTCTGAAAAATAAAAGTCCCATTTCTATCATGATAATCAATATAAAGGAATTTTTTGCATACCAAAAGAGTGCATCAAATGTTATGCCAAGCACAGGGGAGATATGTTCTGCTGCTCTGGGCAGCAAGCTAAGGTTTCACTTATACCATTTTGGCAAATGGCTTTTCAGCACTCATACTGAATTAATATATACCTTTTCCCTCTTCTTTTCAAAGTAAAGAAGGGCAGAAGTTAGATATGTGGGAAGAGGGAAAAGCATATGGAATTTGAAAACTAATCTGTAAGCTTGAATCTCTAAAGTGCCTCTCAAAATTCCTCTATATTTAGCACAATGCAATGCATCCTTTTTAAAATTCACTGTGAATCTGCTCAGTAATTAGGAAAAAAAAAAGTTTAAACTTCCATATTTGACATTTCCCACCAGAAACAAATACTTAGTTTTGCTTCTGCTTAGCATAGAAACCCTAAGATAATTTCTATTCGTATTCTAGCATGATTGCTTTAATCCCCTGCATTGAGGGGAGGAAAACTTGGCTGGCTTTCCTGAAAAATTGGAAGCTGTGTACAGTAGCTGCCAACTCTTACAGATTTTTGTCCCTCCTAAACCATCTTGTTACAGAAACATTGCTGTAATTTAGCATTACTTTATGTAGGACTGTTTACAGAAGAAGTCAGTTATTTATTCATTTTAGCCTTGGTCAAAGAGGCTAAAATTGTTTACTAAACTTGACCATTTAAAACTATTCAAGCTATTGTCATATTTTGATAACTTTCCTCGCTACACCTAAATTGTTCCCCTCAGCTGCCTTTGCCAAAAGCCAAGGTCTGCAAAGTGTTTTGTCAGCTTCAATAGAAGAAGAAGACTCCAAATACATTTTGGTTTTCATCTCAGAGGAAAGCCAAAAGCCATAGCCAAAATTAAACATTAGTGTTCCTCCCCCAGCCTTTCTTTGTTTTCTGCATGAAAGTTTTTCAGGTTTAATAACAGACAGTTTCCGTGCAACGAAGGATAACATTGTAGCCTTGAGTATAAAGAAATTACTTCTAGCAGAGGTTTCTCTGTACCACGCAATAGGTTACTGCTTAGGTTTCTTTTCAGCTGTTAAAAAAACAAAACTCTAAAGCAGAAGCCATTCGCCTTTCTAAAATTTGTTGGTAAATTTTACTCCAGGAGAAGGAAAGCCATTAAAGAAGCACTTTTTCTGTGACACAAGGTTAAGTATTAAGAGCTTGCCATTGTTTTTCTGCTTTGGTGGAGTTTTGAGCAGCCTGTTTGATTTCTGGACTAGGTAGGTTCTTTATGCCCTCTTCACCAGACCTCAGACACTTAGAAATGTCCAAAACCTTTTTCAGAGGTGGAGAAAGCTGCTAACTTAGAGAGTTAATTTAGCTTGCCTTGACTATTGGCTGATCATTGATGCTTAAGGGGTCAAAAAAACCATTGGTTTGATCTGACATCCCCCTTCAGAGAGCATGCAGCTCTTGGGATTGCATCAAGAGTTAAATGAAACAACCAAACAAAAACTTCCCAAAATGACACTCTTCCCCCAAACAAACAAAAAACAACCCAAGAAATGCACAGAAAATACCAGGAAATTAACTTAATTTGCATAATTGTATTGTTCATTTAAAGGATCCTGTGTCTCTCTGCAGAAATCTGTTAGCTATCTGGATAGGTCCTATATAAACATGTGTCCCTATAATTAATTACTTCATTGATTTTTTTTCCCATTAAATGTAAATTTAAGATCAGAATTAACTGTGTTTCCAAACAAATTAACAGTTTTATAGTGAATGATTATGCTTGAATGTATACATTTGTAGAGTCAAATTTCAGCTTAAATTTTTTAAAACACCAGATAAAAGTTCCCAATTAGGAAGAAGTAGCTTATTAGCCTGACATGGCCTCTTTTGATTTTGGATGAATAGAACTGGATTTCATCCTTAACATGTTATTTTAGTAATGTCCTGTAATTAAATGCTTCTTCATGTTTGAGCAATAAAAAAGCCTTTGCTAAAAAGGCAGAACCTCTCTCCTGACAATGTAATGTAAAAATCTTTTGTTGTTGAGAAGCAGTTCCTTTTAAAAGTAATATGTGAGAATTATTCTTCCTTGTCTCTCTGAAAGCCTCTTTTTTATTGTCAGCTGGCAATGGGAGTGGTGGTTGTTATGCACAAACCCACAAGACAGAGCTTTTGGACAGAAGTGGGAGGAGAAGCCAATACCCCCTAGATGTTGGGCAGCCCTTTAGATGGATCTCAACAGGTCAGTGATGGGCAGAGAGGAACAGTCTGGAATTCTACAATGGCAGCTGTGGAGGAACAACCCCAGCACCAGCACAGGCTGGGGATGGCCTGCTGCAGAGCAGCTCTGCAGAGCAGGACCTGGGGGTGCTGGTCCCTTCCAACGGGATCTGTTCTGTGACAAGGGGGTTCCCATGTTCCACACTGGAGCTGATGCTTACAGCCTGAGACCTGACTTCATGCAAATGCTGGTGTTCAGCACTTACCACATTGCTGAAAGTGCTGTAAGGCCATGTCTGTCCAGTGGTCTACAGTAATCTACTTCCTTCTCTCCATGGGAATCTGTAGGACAAAATATCTCTCTTCAAAATACTTTTAATGTTCTCTTACCCTGCATGTTTGTCACTGAAAAAGAGTGAAATAATCAGTAGTTATTTTGCAGCTACTCTGTCTCTGGATGGCTTTAAACATACAAAATCTCCCTGAAATTTCCAGCAGTGTCAGCCAGAGGGGATTACAATCACAAGACACCTGCTGCTGGGTTGCTATGAATGCTGCTAGGCATCAGTTGGAAACTTGTTGTTTGAGGGAATTAAAGCAAAACAAAAAACATATTTGCCTAATCCCAGTTTGGATCAGGAGTATAGTTTGGAAATGTGAACAGCCAAGATTGCAAGTGTAATATGAAATGGGCTGAGCTTTTTGATTTTTAGTGTATGTACTTACTAAAAATATTGAAAGAGGTTTCAATTGCAATGAAGTAGTGTTTTCATGGAGAAAGAAGCATTGCGTCCTAAATAGTATTTTTGTAAGGATCAGCAGATGGAAACTGAAGCAAGACATATGCCAGTTAGAAAGACTGAACATACATAACAACTGCTGCAATAAATCTATATTTCTATGCCCTGAAATGACTTTGAGCTAAGCTTAAGTGTCTTTTTGGAAGATTAACTTTGGCAAAGTATGTGTTAGGCTTCAGTCAAATGTAAATAATTGCAGTAAGTCAGTGATACTTACCCATTAAGCCATTTGATTAGACCTTCTGTGTAGCTGGCTCCAGAAGGAGTGTGTCTGCCTCCAAGAGGGCCGGAGAGGTGTTAGGCAGCTGCATGATTCTGAATGGAAAGCATGTTTCTTATTAGATTTGAGTAAAGTATGAGTGGAAGCTGTGATGGGCCCCAAGACAATATTGTGTGTATGGAAGTAGCTAATCAATGAGCATTTTGGGGAGGCTGAGCAATGTACATATTGCACGCCATGCAGAAGTAGTGTGAGCACAGCTACCAGGCTAATAACCTGCTGTGAAAACATCTTGAAGATGATGGGGACATTGCAGCTTCACATTTGTGTAAACTAATGCAGTCTCCAAAACAGGATGCTTCCCCATCAGCCATTAATGGTGAAGAGGAATCGTACTGTTCCAGAGACTCCTTTTCCCTTTACAAGCGTCAGTAATCGAATGGCAAGCATTCAGAAGACACACAAGGAATTTTCACGGGTTTATGTGTGATCCAGAGCATTTGTTCAACTGTTAACTTCTGCTGGTGTTGTGTTCAGGCTGACTCAGAGTATATAGATGACTCACCTTTGAAATAGGGCATAACCTCTGCTGCCTCCTCAGAACCTTTGATTTGACTTTCATGTCCATGGATCCAAACACATTAAATATATCACTGAACACCATTTGCTGATGATTTACTGGGCTGTGTTCTCAAAGTTGTACTCAAGAAGCCAACAGCGTAAATGTAATAAAGGATCTTAAGGTGTCCACTGAGGCAATCCAAATGCTTCCATACTCACACAGAGCAGATAAGGTGCTGTGCCAACACCCATGGTTTCATTTTTATAAAAATGTATTTTTGTGCTCTGAGCTACTCTTTATTGTCTTTAGTGGTGATAACACAGGGAAAGGATGGCACATTTCCTATGAATTGGCACGTGGTTCTGTTGAGAGAAATATTGTTTATAAGAGGAACATTTAGCCACACTTACTGGCAACTTTTCTCATCTATTTAAGTGATACATAGAATCAGCCTTACTGCATGAACACCTACGTGTGCTGTTTTGTTCTTCATGTGGGAATAATGTATCATTTGAATCACTTAAGAATGTGTTGTAGCCATCTACAAACCCCAAATTTCCCACTAGTTGAAGCATATAATTTCTTTTAAGGTTTGTTTCATTTATACTGCACAACTTGTGGAAATTAGGCCCTTGTTAAAATGTACTGATGACTTCTACTGAGAAATGTGATTGTACCATGAAAATACAAGGCAAATGTACTATTTTGGCTAACCCCTACCTTCTTTGTAGGAAAAGAAGAAAACGGGCAGGGTGTAACAGGGACAAGAGTGACTTTTGTTGTCTTCCTTGGTCAGATGATTTTGTTCAGTAGTGCATGAAGTGTGTAGTAAAACTAGAGAGGAGCTACAGATTTTAAGCCCTAGTCTAGTCTTTTGAGCCCAGGCACAAATTTTTAAGCTACTTAAAGCTAGCTGTCCCTCTGTGCAGTCCACATAAAGGTTTTATTCTAGGAAGATTTTGAGCTACATTGATTACTACTAAATTTAAGAATGTGTCAAACACTGAATTTGCTGAAGAAAGAGCACAGTAATTAATGTAATTAATGTAACTGTGAGCTGAAGGTGAGTGATAAAACTTGGCTTCTGGTCTAGGTTAAATTATACAAAAATACAAGAAATATTTTGTGATCATTTTGTCTTGATCCTTTTTTTTTTTTGCAGTGAAAAGCTAATGACACATGAAAAGGGAAGATTTCTTGACACCTAGTATTTAATTTGTGTGTCAGCACTGAGGTATCAAATTATCTATTTGCTGTACTGCCTCAGCTAAAATAAGAACACAAAACCAGCTCTTGACTGCAGCAAGTGTAGTGTCATAAGAAAAAAAAAAGCACAGAATTTTGCATCAAACCAGAATAACATTTTGCTTAAATGAGATAAAAAATAAGAAGGAAGCTTATTATTCTACCAGCAAGCAGCTGCTGTGATTGTTAATTGGGGAAAGAAATGAGAAGCTGTCAGTTCATTTTGGCACTTTGTTTCTAATGCATCAGCAGAGAAGCAGACACACCAGAGCTTGTGAGAGATTTTTCATTTGAACTTCAAAGAGCAGGGGAGTTCTCCACTGAGATAATGCTGCTTCTAATAACAGGTGTGAACCATACAAATCTATTGAGAACCTGCTTATTTCCTTTTCTAATTATCTAGTTTTAGGATAACAAAACAAATAAATCTAAAAGCTAATCTACTCACTCTAGGCTCCTTCATTCTTGCCACACACACGTGTAGCATTACTGTGAGCTTACTTAAAATGAAGAACACATCAGTGACTTGTAGGACTGTGTTTACAGGGCTCTTCTGATGAACAAAGTAACAACCTCTGTAGCCACAAGTGCAAGCACAGACATCCACTTCCATTAGTCTGTACTGCTGAGGAGCTCTATAGATGCTTGCACGGTCAATAAAAGGATAGCCTGACCTGTGACCAAATCACAGGACTGGAGGTCAAAATCGGGTGATGTCACCCACTTGTGCCATCACTGCTGTTTGTCACTGTGCTTTGCTGTGCTGTCACTGCTGTTTGTCACTGTGCCTGTGCTGTGCCATCACTGCTGTTTGTCACTGTGCCTGTGCTGTGCCATCACTGCTGTTTGTCACTGTGCTTTGCTGTGCCATCACTGCTGTTTGTCACTGTGCCTGTGCTGTGCCATCACTGCTGTTTGTCACTGTGCCTGTGCTGTGCCGTCACTGCTGTTTGTCACTGTGCCTTGTCTGCCAGTCAGTGCAGCAGCTTCTGGAGGCATCCATGGCTGAACGAGCCTGGCTCCACAGGCTTGCTTGCAGAACCTCTGGCTTTGCAGGGTCTCAGCAGAGCCTGAAATGCTTTAGCTATGGGAAACAGCATTAAATGAGGAAATTAGTGTGAGTCTGCATCAGCCACACACAACTCCTTGGAAACAGGAGCTTGAGAGTCTTTGCTGGCTGGTGGAACCTTTTCAGAGGAAGAAGCTGTTATTGGACATTGAATTGCTTACTAGCTATGGGGTTTTTTCTTTAAAATGATGTTTTATTTGTGCCTCTTGTACAATCTTCCAGCCAATGAATTATGATCATGTCAAAGTCTCAATCATAAGCATTATAGAAATAGAGAGGACTAGCAGAAATTTGCATAATTGCTTTATGCAGTGGATCAGGAAAAGATTTTATTATTTGAAGTACCAGGTGAGGTACAGAATTTTATGCTATCTTAGAGAAAAGCTTTTGCAATAGGTGTAATCTCTTTCTGTGTATACATTATACATTCACATAACACTGACATTTCTTATGCATGAATTGCCCGAAAATATGCTGATTATAGCAGTATGTTTGCCTGCAACAAAGTATTGTTCTATGCCTGTGGATTACATATTAAACAAGTTTAATTAGAGAAGATGGATTGATCTGGAAACTCATGCAGATTTACACCACAATATGGGTGACACAGTGTTTATGTGGTATGGTGCAGCTGTGACCCTCCTCCACAATTCTAGTCTCCCTCTCTTGCTACTTTTACACCTCCCTCCAGCCTGATTATTGTGTTTACAATTCTACAACAGGGTCAGACAGTGATAGCTCATGCCAGCATTTTGGAGTAGTTTGAAGCGGAGTTGTAAATAGTAGGAACAAAATTCTGATTTCATTAAAGTTGATGGCAAAATTCGCATTGAATTGAAAGTGGGACCTGAATTCCAATTCCAAGTGAGCATATTATAAGCACTTCTGGATAACTCAAAAGACACAGGATTTCAATTAAAATACCTTTTTAATATCTCACAAAAATTATTTGAGTTATATACTTTCTAAATAGTATCAGTTGATGACCTGTCTTTCAGAAGTGTATTTGTTGGTTTTTGACTTGTAGTGTCTATTAGGATAAATAACCTTTATGTGATAACAATCCAATCACAATCCCTTCCAAATAAACAGCTTGAAAATACCAAGTGTAGTTAATTGCATTAAGGGTAACCACATGGGAAAAAAAAATATCATTCCTTGTAATGAAGCTATCAGTGACATCCTATGGAGGGTGCTTTCTGCAAATTAATGCAAGTTGTTTCTGTCAGCATTCAGAAAACAAGAATGTTAAAATCTGGCAGTGAAATCTTAAAATGTAGACAGAAATTAATTGAATTTTCAAACTATTAATTTCGCTGTCTTATAGTAACTCAATTTAGCTAGATTTGTACCAAGCCTATCACTAACTGCAGAGGAGAGAGCTACTGAACAGGCACACGGTGTCACAGACTAACACAAATAGGAACAAACCTGAAATTTCATTAAGGCGCTTGAACTTCGCAGTTCCCCACTTTCTTGCTGCAGCATTTGTAACTGAATTCCTGTGAACAAAATATACAGACAAGTTCCAGTTGTTGCTATATTAATGCCAAGAGGAGAGGTGGGGATGTGTCATCACTCTATACACTGGCACCTGCACAAACTTACAAACGACTAGAACAGACTTGGAAAAGCACTGCCCTCATAACTGCTAGGAGGTTAAACTTTCATGTGTTCTGTACCAGCCTGCTTTCTTCCTGAGGATTTGCAAAACACTTTGTGCACTTTAAGAATACGGTGGCGATGGCTTTGATATCAAACTGCTGTCACCTGTCAAGCAAAGCTTGACAGCTGCTCAGCTACTATTAGCCATACTATAAAAGTGCTGTGTAGCAGCCAACACAGCTGCTTATACTCAAAGGAAAAGTGGGCAGATAAATAGCAGATAACTCTTAATTAGAAATTTAAGATCTTTTTAGAATGCAGTTGTATATTATGATGAACTTAAGTGTATGAGCTGTAGCATACAACTATTTAAATCTTTTCATGGAGTACTTGGCTTGATAGATCTACTATTTATTAAAGTAACATAAGATCTTCAATGGGCATCTCAAATATCCTATTCAATGGGAAAGAGCATCATTAGCACAACATGCAGAAACATGCAGAGAACCAGTGAGCTAACAGCTCCAGAAAGTCTCCTACTCACTCAGTGTTATTGTCTAACTGCTTGGTGGGGAAGTCTGACTGATTTGTTACCCTCAGCAGTAGGCTGCACAGCTTAGACAAGTTAGTCTCTGACTTTTGGAGAGAATTCTGCCTGTCAGTTTCCGTACCTTTTTTAATGGTGACATTCGTAGCCCGGCAATTACCATTTTGTCATTGTGGTTAAATGGAAAAGAGTATTGCATTCAAATGACAGCATGAAGTATATTTCAGTATTGCTGAACCTAAACAATATGCTTTTTGCCTCTTATCCATATCCATCTGTAATCTTCCCTTCTCTCCCCTGTTGCTAGAGAAAAGTCACAGAGCAGCTTCTTGCTCAGATATGGAGATCATATTTTAAGTCATCTAACTTGTATTCAAACCAAGAAATTATGTGCTCCTTAGAAAGCAAAGGGCTCTTTGGGCTGCAGGTTTGCTTGCAGGCTCTCGTGTGACTGGAGACAGCAACTCAACAATAGAAAATTTTAATTGGATTTATTTTTTTGATTAGTCATTTTTCACTTGTGCCTTGCATATTCTTAGATGGCAGCATAGCTGAGTAAAAACACGCCATCAGCTAATCATGATTCTTTACAAAACTAAGAGGCTTGCAAGAATGCATGTAGTAGTTTAAGGACTTTCCTCAAATGGAACAGGTTAAACTAGAAATGCTTAGTCCCTGTTGTGATTTCAATTGTCACAGCTCTGACTTCAGAGAGCACAGCTCAAACTGCAGCAACACATATGATGTAGTTGGTCTAACCACAGTTTAGTCAATACCCAGTGAAAATACTGTTGGAATAACTCCAGGCAGCAGCTTGCACCAGTGCACGTGCTGTCTGCACCTGCTGTGAGTTCATCTGGACAGCAGTTGCACCCTCCTGATGGTGTTTAAGCAGGTGTTAGAGGGAGCTCCCACCCTGCAGCCCTGCTTACTCAGTCGTACTCTCAGTGCTTACATGTAGAGTTACTCTGTAGTGCTTGCATGTCTGAAGGTCGTGTGGATGGTACAGGCATGCTGGGGAACTGGTTCAGAGCAATAGCACAAAATCTGCTGCTTTTGTGGGTATGACTGCTGCTGTGAGCTGCCTGTTCCCACCTATGAACACCACGGTGATTGTTTTGGGAATCAGAGTAGTGTTTGTGCATGCTGCTGTTCTGGGCTGTGCAGGCTGACTACTCAGTCATTGCAGAACCAGATTGGGATGGGCCTCAGAGGAACAGAGGTTTTTACTAAATCTCTGAGTAGCAAATAAATTTTAAATTTAATTGAATATTTCTCATTTGTCGTCATTTTTAGGAGCAGTTGGAGTGACACGGGCAGTGAGTTATTAGTCCTCCTTTTGACATTTTGACTTTTATCAAGTTCTCTTGGCAAGTAACAAGTACAGGGAGGCAGAATTTATTAAAGCCAGCAATGGTTATAAATGCATTCCCACGGGTGTGAGATTTGTGTAAATTAGTTTTGTGCTGTGTGTATCTCTTTTCTAATTCTTTTGAATCAGAGAAATGTGGGAGGTCTAAGAATTATATGCATTTTCACGGTCATCAAGGAAGTTAGAAAGAAATTACTTCTCCTGTTATGTGTTAATCACTTCAAATGAGAAAACCAGTCACTTCAATACTGACCCCTTAAATAGTGGGTATGGAAGAGAGATAGAAAATATACTGTTTTGTGGGCATGGAAAAAGGAGAGTGAGAGTTCATGAGCCCGTATTGAATTAGAGCCAGATGCTGAACTGCACCTTCACCTGCATGGAAAGCAGAATTCTGTGTAGTGTTCTTGCTATATCCCATTGATAGATACAGTCAATTTAAAAAACAAAACAAAACAAAAAAGTTTTAATGTTTAGAACTTTAGATTCATATTGTGTTCAATAGCAGATGAAATGGAATGACAGGCACTAAAACTGAGTACTGTGGCTCAGTTGGATCAAGAAGTGTACAACCCTTCAGTCCACATGAGTTATGATTTTGAGTTTCTTTCTCTGGGACATAAGAAACTATTTTGTCTCCAAAACTACTATACTAAGTTTCCCTAAACCCTCTGATTCCTGTTCCTTTTGTATTTGTGAACACAACTCTCTCATAATGCTGGAACTATGCAGCTGAAGAGCCCTTAGTAAATGCCAAGCATCTTTGCTTCAGCTGCCTTGGAGAGGACATCAGACAAGTATACGGTCTGGTTGGAACACCACCAATGCTCAGTCCCTGTCCTGTGAGCGTTAAATTCTTCCTTCCTTTCCTCTTCCCCCCTCAAGGCCATGGAGGGAAATCACATCCCTGTTTCTGTCGTGTCCTAGGCAGCTGGCAGAGCTTGGGATGGACCCAGATTTCCTAATGCCAAGCGTGGTATTCTCCCTGCTGTGCTGTGTTTTGCACAGGATTTGGGGGGAACAGGCCCTTGGTTTACTCCAGGCAGTTGTTGGCTCTGCAGTCAACTCAGGGAGTGGAACACGCTTGCTGAATTTGCGTATATGCTTTTTTCAGTCTTCTGTAGATACGTCTGTGTAATGAAAACTCAATAAAATTTTAATGGTGAAAAAACCCCCAGACAGCAAACCAACCCTTTCATCATTATCTCATTGCAGGCAGGTCACGCCAAGGTGTCACTAGTCCAGAATCTAAACAGCATCTAACCAGCAGAAGTCATTCTTCAAACACAAATCCCAGAATGAGCCACTGCATTATGTAACATTTATGAATTATTCATTAGCTCTGGTTTAGCATTCGTCCTGCCGCTTAAGCTAAAGCCAGCCCTGTATTTGCAGGTAAAAAATAACAGTTTCCATTACAGTGGATATAATGCAAATAGTTACTTTATCCTTGGCTGGCAATATTGTTACCATGATAAAGTGGCATACAGATAGAAGTTGTATCACTTCATACTTTGAAGTCCTCTGACGCCCGATATCCATTCTCGTAAAGTTATTTTAGGCGTGTACATGTATGTATGTTTTAATATGTATTTACATAGTCATACACAGCAGAAACTATACCTTTTGACTGTGAGCAATACCAGAGAGGCAATCTAAAAGGGCTGTGCAAATAACTATATATTCAAGTTGTCAGTATCCCATTATACTTTGGGCTGTGTGCTAAGCAATCCTTCATGTCTGCTTCTCTCTCTTTCTCCATTCATTTTTCAGCATGACTTTTCCTTGTGCAGTACACACAATGCATTCAGCATCTCCTTTTTTTTCAGCTGCAAATGTTACAAATTATATTCTTTGACTTTTCCCTATGTTTGTGCACAGCAGTTGAATGCATTGATTCACAAGGATAATAACCTACAGTGGTTGGCTCTGTCTGGAATACCGAGTATATAAATCAATATAATGACTGGTGATATTAATTATTTCAGCAAATTTTCGAGCCCAGTGTTGCAGCTTTCATTCAATTACGTATTATTTAGTACTCCATAGTTACGTAAGACAGCAGGAACATGGGTTATGTAACCTAAAGGACAAGTTCTTTTCACTTTCATAGTAATTATAGCATTCTTCCTGCAGTGAAACGGTTAAATCTTCCTCCCCAGGCCCATTCAGCTGACTAATGAAGGGATGAAAAATTGGACTGCAGTTGGATGGCAGCTCTCTGAAATGTTGGCCCACTGACTTGAACAGAGATTTTCCAGTTCTGGTGTGTTTCATCAGCCTATGGGCAAAGGACAATAAAATTAACTCTGCCGTTTGCCAATCTCTTCTATTTTTGGAGGACGCAGCCTCCTTTTTATCCCAATTTCCCAGCTGCATTTCCTTTCTCTCTTTCCCCATTTCTGAGGTACTTGAGGGGTTCAGAATCTCTGATATGCCTGATACTAAAGATTCTCTTCTAATGTATAACACTTTTAATTTTTCATTTTTATGGAATTTAGGAGTTTTTCTTCCTCATTGTTTCTTTCATCTCTCAATGTCTAATTTAATTTATCAGCAACCTTAAAGTTTATTTGTAAAAGTAAATCTTTTTTTTCCATTCATCAATCAGTGGAATATTTCTCATTGTTTCTTTTATCTTCCAGAGCTAGTTTTATCTACCAGCAGACCCAGGGCTTGTTTGTAAAGACAAATCTGCTATTCCTCTCACACCTGCACAGAAACACCCACACCTCACCCAGCAAGGGATCTGCTTCTGTAGGTGACAACAGCTACGGAAACACATTACTGGAATGCCCCCAGATTATTTGGTTTTCTGATTGATTACATGTTAATTGACTGATTAACCCACCAGGCTGAGTTCAGGAGCAGAAAACTGCACAGGGACAAGGCAAAATGGAAATATCATATTTCACATCTGACCAAGTTGAGAGGCTTCTCTCACTTCTCAGAGTCATGAAAAGAGATTTCAAATCAAG